CCCCCAGCGCAGCGGGGCCCGCCACCGCGGCAGGGGGCACAACTTGATGGCACTTTTTGTGAGGACGGGTGAGTGGAAACGTGTGTGGAAGTTGATTCAGAACATCCTGTTTCAGTGCCTCCCCCAAAAACACGTTTTTTAATTTTGTTGGCGTTTTTTTCCTTTAACATTTCGTGTTTAAGATTTATAACACTAGAAAGGAAAATTTATGTTTTACCTGCGTTTTGTTTTTTAAAAGATGTTTATGTTTTGGAGATGAAAATAAACTTCACCCTCTTCAGTGGTCAAACCTCACATCTGAGGTATTCATAGTCATTTATTTTATATAGGAGCATTGTCGTAATGAGCTAGATCCTGACAATAGGGATTATCAACATAATTTAGAACGATATCTGTATAAACATGTATATGTGTGTGTGTGTGTGTGTGTATATAGATAGATAGATAGATACATATCTGTATAGCAGCACATTTTCCAGGTTTGCAGCAGGATGTCTATTGCCAGCCATCTTATATGGGTACTGTTTTGTGTCACTGATGACAGGTGTACAAAATCACGTTGGTGTGTCCACTCTACGAAGTCATACAAGAATGAACTTATTAATGAACAAAGTTAGAACTAATTGTTGAAATAATTGTTGTGGTTCCTGAAAAGTTTGTGAATTGGCCTGGTTAAATGGTGTGCTTTGACTTGTACAGGATATTGTTACAATGGTAGTTTTATTTCCATTGCTTTACCAGTCTATCTTTTTCTCGCATTCTCTGCCTTATTTCTAACTAAGCTTGGATTTTGGTATTGCTGAAACTATGGCCATTGCTATTCACTGTGCTTTGCACCTTAAATTCTATCAAGCTATATGCAGTATTATAAAACTCAAGTAAATCTTTAGTTTAAAAAAAAGAAGGCACTGTAATCTTAAATCATAGTTTTAAATTGAGGCTTTGAGGCTTTTTCTTAGAGTCATGTGTCTTGCCACAAGTCACTTTAGATATGACTGTAAAAGAAAGTAGTTATGGAAATTCTCATTTTAAATTTTGCTTTGCATATTTAACAGCATGCTGTATATAGCTGGTTTCCTTTTATCAACCTTGCCTCCTGATCTTGAGCAACTGCATGTTGTAACTGCAAAATCTTGCAGTTGCAAGATTTAAACGCTATTAGAAGTTCATGTACATTTTTTTTTAAAGTATCTCGGTGTGCATATGAGACTGTAGAAATGCCTTAACTTTTCGTAGATTTGCTGCATGTGATTTGCTGTCTGTACTTCTCTGGCCTTCATCTCAAAAAGATGCATTGGAAGTGCAAGCTTCAGTGAAGATCAGACAGTATGGAACAGCTTATTCATTTGGGCCAAACAGTGTGGTGAGGCTTCTCAACCTGAACAGGGTGATGTGGAGGTGTTCTGAAAAAAGATCCACAGTATAAGGCCTGATGTGGAGCTCGCATATAGAAAGGGTAGGGTTATGAGCTCATTAGTCATCAGTTAGGTTGTAGAATCCAAGTTTATAGCAGACAAAAGTATTCAATACAGCAGACATGTGGAAGTCATAGTCAAAAGATATTGCATGGAGGAAATTTGCATGTGTTGAAAGGGAATGGAATGGGTAATGGGAAGAGAGATTTCCTGGGGTTTACTCACGAGTCAGCCCCACCTGACTCAGAAGGTCTGTAGGAATTAAAAAATAGTTTAAGCCTGGAGAATTTTAGAAGAGAGGTTTTTTTTATATGCTTGTGTGATATTTACTGTTACTCAGAAGTCAATTTATGACTTCTGGTCATTACAGAGTAGTGGGTTAGATGGGTATTCTTGTGTTCTCTTTTATTGCACATAGTTTAATTAAATTAAAAATGTAAATATTATCACTGATTCAGTTAATAAGAAAAATTCTCTTGAGTCTACGGTTCCAGGAGCGGGGGGAAGATGTCTCAGAAGAACATACTCTCAATTAGTTTCTTTGCATTGACACGTAACAGTAGGGGAAGGTATAGTTTCTTGCCTTCAGGACTTCCTCATTTCTGTTCCTTACCACTCTGAAAAGTATCTGAGTTTTATTTCTACTTGTTTTGTTGTCTCAGCATTAAATCAGTATGCAGAGAAGGTGTATTGCCACTGATCATAGCTGTGAAGTTCAAATACTTGTTCTGGTGCAAAATTTTCTCTCTTTGCTTCTTGCTATAAAAACCTGTCCCAGATGCCTCTCACTGCTGCTGCTTTTTCACAAAAGTAGAAGAATGATATTCTAAAAAATAAATAAGAATAATAAACAGTAAAAGCGCTGAGGTTAATCATCTGTATCAGTTTCATTGGTTTGGGAAAGGGGAGGGCTGAAAAAGGTTTCCTCATATTCAAAGAGAACTCTCCCTTGGTTCAAGTTGGAAAACCTTCTGTGCAACTAATATTTGCTAGGTCTTTCCCTTTAGAGTAAAAAGAGAAAAAGCCTTATATTTTCTTGTATGGGTATTTAGTTGGATGTGTCTTTGTTAATCTGATATGTGTTCTCTGAGCTTTGATGCACCGTTGTTCTTCTCGTCCTGTTTCCAATCTCTGCTAGCAACATTTACTATGTAGAAAGTTATCTTTATATATGAAATGTAAAGACAAGATAGATGAGTAGTGTGACAGAATGAAGTACTTCGTATATTTGGATAGGCTTTCACTGTGCTTTTTATTTCTTTTTTCCCCATAGATACATGGCACATTGGCGATAAATGTCTTGCCCCTTCTCTTGAAAATGGGGAACTTCATGAAGGAATAATAAAGTCTATTGAAAAGGACAAGGAAACATTTGCTGTTGTATCATTCTTGGAGTCTGAAGAAAGGAAAATATTAGTAACTAAACTTCATAGAGTCAAGTCCAGTAAAGACCCATGGAAAAATTTAATATTTGATGATGACGATCTTGAAAAGCCTAATTTTCCTGACAAAAATCTTCCCTCTTCTGCTACTGCTTTTAAATTGTCTGACAATGGGGATTGTATTCCGTATACGATTAACAGATATCTACGTGATTATCAAAGGGAAGGAGCCCAGTTCCTGTATGGACACTATGCTAATAAAAGAGGATGTGTTCTTGGAGATGATATGGGCCTTGGAAAAACAATACAGGTATGATTTGGGGAATTTCCGTGTGGAATTCTCATCTGATGGTTATTTAGTCACTATACAAAGCCTGCAGAAGAAAAATATGTTTTTTAAAAATTATTTATTTATAAAGTGCAGTGTTTGTATTCTCAAAGTTTACAGTATGAGCAAAGTAGTTCAGTGCATATGAGGAGAAAGAGTATGTGTAAATTAAATGTTAATTAAAACTTGTTATATAGCCATTGACTCATTTACAGTCTTACAGAAGATTTGTTGTATGCTTGTCAATTGGCCAAACCTTTCCAGTCTTAAACTATAGCACAAGTTCTGAGAGAAGGATTTTTCTAGAAGTCCTTTGCACTTCAATATTCCTTCTGTTTCTGAATGGATTTTTGCTTAATTTGGTTTGTCTGGCTGGCTCTTTCTTTTCAAGCTAACATTGAGATAGAGGCAAGTAGAAAAAAACTTTTTATGTTTTTATAACCATGGTTTTACTAAATTTAAAGTTTCCTATAAGGACCTTTAGATTGCTTCTACTCCCGCTTTACCTAGAACAGTCAAAGGTTTTTCAGTAAAGTTGAGCCCTTTTACAATCTGCTTTAGTTACAATTTGTGACGCATAGTTCTTCCATAAGAACTTTGTTTTGTTGAATTTTCTTCTTCTAGACTAAAATTACTAAAATTAAACATCTTCCAAACTTAAGGATTCTGTGATTCTGTGATCATGTGCAAACTTGCAGGAACCTCCTAGCTTCCATTTATATGAAGTGTTATATATAAAATTGCCTTCCCCTCCTTCCCCCTCCCCCCCAGCCTTTTTTTCTGCATACCTGCTTCTCACTCCCATTTCTCCTCCTTTGCCTCCACTCGGGTGTTTTTCTGTCAGTTCTGTAGTGCTGGATGTCCTGTTCTTCCCAGGCTTAGAGGGGGAAAGCTTTGGGTGCCTCTCTCTTTTTTTTTTAGAAGGCAACAGCTGACAGCTTTACCTCTGCCCTGCTATGAGCCGCTGTGTTCCAGCTGCCAGTGGAAGAGGCGAGAGCTGACTTAGTAAACCAGGCCCATTGAATCTCCAAAAGAAGGACACCTCTGTCTGGCAGCACATCTGGTTGTTGCTGCTGCTTAACCCCGAGATACATTTATGCAGAGCAGGTTTTACAAATATGAGTGTTCTGGCCAGATACCTCTGTACATTCTGCCTGTTTTGGATTGCCATGGGAGCAGCTTTGAATAGCCCAAGTCAAGCTGCTTGTCCCCACTGTAATATCTTGTAATAGCTGTCCCATAGTCAAAGGGGAAGAAAATCACTTGACGGTGACTGGTTGAGGCAGGTGACTGAATGTACAATGGAAAGAAGGTGCCTAAATGCATCAGAAAGAACTGTTTTTGTAGATGACAGGATTTTGAAGGAACAGGAAATTACCTGTTACTAAGAATCTAACGTGAAATTAGCAAGCAGGTTTTCCTTTTGCTTTCACATCCAAGTTTCACATGCAGTGCCTTTTCAGGAAAATTCTGGGGGTTGTTTCATCTTTAGTTTTTTTTGGCTCCTTTATCCATGTTTTCCAAACTTTTGTCCACTTAGATGACTGACATGTAGAATTGAGCAAGAATTGCTGTTGCCACAAATTCAGGATTCCCCCAAGAGAGAGATTCCTATTTTAAAAACTGAAGTCAGTTTTTTTTTTAAAGTCTAATTTGGGATCTGGTCCTAAATATTTACATGCAATAAATCTTATCTGTTTGCATTTTTGCATCTGATTACTGTGAATTATTTCCTTTTTTAGGTCATTTCATTTCTGGCTGCTGTGCTGCACAAAAAGGGAACACGTGAAGATATTGAAAATAATATGCCAGAATTTTTACTGAGAACAGTGAAAAAAGAGTTGAAGTGTAGGCCCAAGAAGGTAAAATATTGTTGATACAAATTTAAAGGCTTTGGGGAAAAGGAAGTGCAGATTTTGTTGTGACTTTGTTTTAGAAATCTCTGTACAGAAGACATTTGCAAATATCTGGAGGAGTTTTGTGACTAAAGTAGTTTGAAAAACTCGTGTCACTGATGGTAGAGTTTTGTGTAACCGTGTTTCTGAAATTAAAAAAAAAAAAAAGTATGTATCTATATGAATGAATATAGACATTCATATAAGAATTGTGTGATGAAGAGCTTTCCAAAGTTGGCTTTAATTTTAACCATGAGAAGATTCATTCAATTTTCCGTAATCTATTGCTGTTCTTTGTTTTATTGGAATATTTGATTGACAAAATGATTATGAACAAAAAACAGTGTTTCTGGCCAGACAGAATTAAAAAAAAATCACTATGAGGAGAAATAAGCGTTGTGACAGGTCACCTAAAGAGATGGTGGACTGTATCCCATTCATGACGGTTTTAAGACTTCACAAGGCAAAACTCTAAGTGACCTGGTCTGAATTCAGTTACCCTGCTTTGCCCAGGAAATTAGACTATATACTTCCTGAGATCACTTCTCACTTGAATCCTTCTATGGTTCTATGATAAATGTACGTGATATCTTAAACCTTTAAGCATATTTTGATACTTTCTGCTCTGAACTCAAGTATTTGCTAACCTAGTGAGTAGGAGCAAACTGTTTGATCTCTTCATGCTTCTGTTTTGACTGTGTAATCTTTTATGATATAAAGATACAGGTGTTTTATCAAAGCAAAGTGATAGTGTCTTGTTTGCTTTATTGCAATTTCTTAATTCTCCCTGTGGAAATGAATCTGTTAATTTATGTAAATGCTGTTAGAGTATAATTTGAATAAGCAACACTATTGCTTTGGTATTTTTGTAGTATTTTAGTGTATGTGTTGCTTCCTATACTATTTGCACACTGTAAATAAATTGAATATATTTGATTTTTTGTTGATTCCTTAGATGTTTTCTTTATTCTGTGTCTGTAACACTAGATTAATATTAAACACAGATGTGACAGAATTAAACAAAATTCAAACTATGTAACAGTAAAATAAAACTCAAGATTCTAACTTTCCTATTTGAGAAAGTGCTGTGTTTCAGATTTCCTAAACAGCTATTTGTTTTCAGGCTTTCCTTATAGTGGCCCCTCTTTCTGTGCTCTACAACTGGAAGGATGAGTTAGACACATGGGGTTACTTCAAAGTTGCAATCTTGCATGGCAGTAAAAAGGATGATGATCTGAATCGCATCAGACAAGGGAAATGTGAAGTTGCCCTTACAACGTATGAAATACTTCGCCTATATTTGGATGAGTTTAACAGGTAAAAATCTTACTTGTGCAATCCTTATTTTAATTGTCTGTTTAAACTGTCCCTTACAAATATTTATAATTCTTTCTTTTATAAAGTCTTTACTGTTAAATCCAATGGCTTGCTGCATGGAAGAAGAGAACCTCTCTTATATAGTGAATATACCATATGCTATCTTTGTAGAGGGGTGCTTAGGAAAATAAATTATTTAAAATGTTTTCAGAAAGCTATAGTTACAAGTAAATTAGTCTTTTTCCCTTTCCCTCTTCCTTAGTGACCATGAAAGTATTTAGGTGTCTAGAGGTCATGTTTCGATAAGAACTTTTTACTCATTCTTTTGCAGCATGGCATATATGGTTGTGAAGTCTAATGAGTCTACTGGTTGACTGCAACAAAATTACATATTTTCACATAGCTAGTCTTGCTGTTACCCCATTCATGAAATGTTCTTAAAAGCTGCAGGAGTCGCCTACCTGAAAAGTCGTGGTAGCTAAAAGATACGCAGAAGGTATTTCTATCTTTCAGTATAGTGTAAGAAAAGAGTTGCCAGATTTCTTTTAACAAGTATTCATAAGATGTTTTGCTTATTACTTATGCTTCACGTGACTTTTCACAAGCTTGACAAAATTTCTGATTCCTAAGAACTTTGAGATTAAGTTGGTGTGGGGGTGCATGTGTGTGTGTGTTGTGTATGTACATAGGAAAATGTATACATAGTTTCAAATGCCTTACAGACTTGGGAGAATTGAGGTCTTTAGAGTTGGAGTTTTATCAACAGCTCGGTCAATAGGAGCCTGCTCTCTAATGCTTTTGATGGCCCTGCAGGCTTTCTCAGGTAATGGGAAAGGACTAGAGAACATCCTGGTATTCTGAATGGTCCTTACTGGAACTGTGGGATTTTCTGTCTGTGCTCAGGTCTGGGGAAAAAAAGCCAAGTAGAAGACAACTAAAGGTGTTAGGTTAGCACACCTTATTTAGGCTGTTGTCTTTCTGAGGGACTCTTTAAGGTTGAATGTCAATTAGTAGTCAGGGAACAGCTGATGCATGTGCTGCCCTGACTGTAATGACACAGATGGTGACTGTACTTGTAAGTGTATGTTGCTTCAGTGTGCAGATTGACTGAACAGGCTTCTGCAGAGTATGTAACCAGGTGGTCTTCTCATGGCACTGAGAAAAGATGTCTTGCTTATGTGGAATGGTGGATTGACCCAAAACATTGGTCTTAAGTAAGAATTACTGATTTTAATACTGTGCGGGTTCTGACCAACATTGTCAATAGCTTGTGAGGGTTGCTGATCATTGGAACAGGTTGCCCATAAAGGTGGTGGAGTCTCCTTTTCTGAAAGCACCCAAAAGCTGTCTGGATGCAGTTCTGGGCAATGTGCTCTAGGTGACTCCGCTTGAGCATAGGGGTTGGACTTGATGACCCAGAGGTTCCTTAAAACCTCAACAATTCTATGACATGATCTTAGGTTCAAACACTTAAGTTGGCTTGCCAGCTTTTATAGCAAGTTAGTTGTGAAATCTATTGACATCTCATTTCATATTACTGCATTAGCCAAGCTTTAGAGTGGATATGTGAAAACTTGCATAAGGGGAAAAGAAGAACATAGAGATTCAAAAGTCAGTCTTTTAGGACTTGCCCTGAAAGCATATTTCTTTTTAAACATGCCAGTTTCTGCATTTTATTTTTTGAAGTAAGATCAGAGTGCTTTGATGTTAATCATATGTTCATAGAAAAGATTTCTGTATGCTTTTATTTATGCTGGATGGGTTTTGTTGAGGAAAAAAAAAAAAGGTCCTTTGCCCTTACCATTTTTCAGTAGTCTTCCTCCAGAAAACCATCAAATTTTGTATATTTAACTTATGAATGCAATGAGTGCTGCTAAGAGGTGCTGGGTTGATATCTCCAGAGATGGAAAGAGATGTTTTTCCACAGAAAATGTTTGATACAGTCAACAGTAGTTCCATCCATTTGACTATGCAGTTTAGCCATCAGGCTTAGTGAAGAGCACTTATTTTATTAGGTGAATAGCATGTAGTGAAACTGAGTAATGTAATGTAAGTGTAAAATAAGAAACATATTTTGGTTATCATAATCATGCTTATGTTTGTTACTCAGATCTGTGAGATGATTGGATGAATACTTTCAGTTAAGATGCTGTTCCTTTTTGATTGCAGTGTGGAGTGGTCTGCTGTCATAGTAGATGAAGCGCACAGAATCAAGAATCCAAAGGCTCAAATAACTCAAACAATGAAGGCCTTGAAGTGCAATGTTCGCATAGGTCTTACAGGAACAATTCTTCAAAACAATATGAGAGAGCTTTGGTGTGTCATGGACTGGTAAGTAAAATATCTCTTTTTATGGTTAAAAACTCCTTTGCCTTGTGGCAGTATCAATATAGGGCTGTGTAAAAACCCTCAAGATCCTTGTAAGAATATCTGTTTTTACATATATGTATTGAGGTAAGGTTTTTGTAGATCCATTTGCAGTGTGTGTTTTTGCAAGTATTTAGTAAATTTGGCATTGTCTTCATCATCTTGCTTCTTTGTGGAATTTAGGAAGCAGATATGTCTTCTTTTTTCCTACCTTTATCATTCTTTTCTAAGAGTCTCTTTTTCTTGCTTTTCTCCCAGAGTTAGAGTCATTTTACAGCTTTGAGCAACTATCTGTGCCCAGTCCAGTACCTGCAGGTCAACCTGACTTACTTAGAAGTTGAAAGTAGTAACAGTAGTTTGCTGTTTTCTCAATATGCATACATTTACAAACCACCAATTCTTGTCCTGGGAAAGTTTTAAAGGAGAGCTGCAAATAAACTTAGATATAAATCCGAACACAATCTTACTTTACAAAGGAGAAAAAAAATGTATTTTAAAAATGTATTTTAAATGTCAAGAAAGAGATTCTTCAATGCCAAGCTTAGAATTGCATCTATATCATTAAAACTATGGTGATGCTTGTAATAGATTGTTCAAAGCTATCATGTTGTCAAGGATTTCTGTATTCTTCTTCCCATTGCACTTCTTAAGATCTTAATTAAATTGTAATATCTATATAACCTGTTTTTATTAAAAAAAAAAAAAGGGAAGAACAAACAATTGCAAACATGGCTGCTCAGCTTTGTGTTTAGACTCCTGAATAATAGCGGCCCTGTTCTTTGGAGGTTATCTATACTTGTGACTTATGATGGCCTGCTGATGTTTAGATTTATTGGAAATTGTGTCCCTTTTCCTTAGGAGACTCCCTTTTAAGATTTGAAGATCACAGTGAGTAACTGAAAAAAGCAGAATGTCTGGAAGTAGTATGTTTCTATTTATATAAACAACTTTTATTCATTTCCCTAGAGATAGTTAATTTAAGACCACTTGCTGTTAGCCAGAAACAATTTATGGTATGCTTTTAATCAATGGAAATGATAGTCTGCCTTGAAGTAAAGAAAATGCTCATATTCCTCTTCTCTGTCTCTCCCTCTCTCTCCCGCTCCACCCCCCACCCAATCCTCCCTCTATTTTTTTTTTTTAATAGGGCTGTACCAGGGCTTTTGGGAACTAGAATGCATTTCAAGAAGAAATTTTCTGATCCAGTGGAGCATGGCCAGAAGCACACTGCAACTAAAAGAGAGCTAGCAACAGGTCGCAAGGCCATGCTGAAGCTAGCAGCAAAAATGTCTGGCTGGTTCCTCAGACGTACTAAAGCTCTTATCAGTGATCAGTTGCCAAAAAAGGAAGACAGAGTAAGAGCATATGCGTATTTCAAATACAACACTAATGAATATATTTCTTCATTTGTTTTTGTTGTGTGTGTGTGTATGTTTTTCCCTTCTTTCATCATGCCTCTTGTATTTTATAGTTTTCTTTGGAGAATCCAGACCCTTGAAAAAAATGCACATGCGCTAGTGTACTTTGTTCGCATAATTAGTATGATTGCTTGCTGAAATGGAGTTAATCAGGCATGAAAATGCTCAGCTAGACTTCTGACTAGAAATTTATGCATCTGCTTTATGTGCACTTTTGTAATTACCTGTGCAAATCCACTGCGATGTATGTAAACCTCTTGAAATTCCATGTAGGACTTATGAATTCAAGACTTGGTATTTTGTACACAGAGCAGTTTGCTTTTCACTTTTTTTTTTCTTTTTCAACTCGTCCATTTTTAGTCATTTAAAAACCCCAAAACATACCTAAAATTGGTTGCCCTAGGTCTATAATCCATCAATCCATCTGATGTTTTTGTAAATGTGTAAAGAAAAAAATGCTTTATGACTATAGCTAAGAGTTGTGATGAATCCTTATTATGTATATTTGTGCTTTTCTTCTAATTAGATAAATTTATTTGCAGCTGTTTTTGTTTTCAGAATTTTCTATTTGTTCTTAATTCTCAGTGCATAATAATGCCATCTAAAATATTTTCTAAAGGAAAGATTAACAAAAAAGGCAGTCAGTTGCTTTTCTAAATCTAGCAGGTTTTATTCTTTTCATTCTCTCGTTAGTGCAAGTATATGTTCAAGTTACTGTTGTATTATTATAGCACAGCATGCTGCTGCTGCCGTGTGGGTGGCCTGGGTTAAGGAATGATCTTGGGATTTCTGTCTCCTGCTGCTTAAGGCTAAAGATGTCGTGGAGATGCCACCCATGGCCTCTAAGAGGAGGGATAAGAGTTTTGGCCCTAGCACTGCATATTCTTCCTCACTGTTCTGGCTGCCGTAGACCACCATTTAATTGTACTGTATTTTATTTGTTCTGCCTGTGGTAGTGCCCTACAACAGCGAGTGCCTAAGGAGGAGGAAAGAAAGGACAAATAAAGGGACCGTCAAAACAGGATGATCTTTAATTGCAGTTATGCCTTTGTTGTGCTCACCCTTGCACTCCGTCATCTCCCGCTAAAAAACTCAATTGAAAACATTGTGGATACCCAACATAAGATTGTTGTGGAGCAATATTGATACTCTCTGTAGTATTTTAGAAGGGATTAAATAATTATATGTTCATTTTGGCTACAGTTTTCTGTTCTGTGGGTGGATAATGCTCCTTTTTTTCTTCTGTCTCTGAAATGCCCTTTGCTGTTCATTGTATGTTGAACATGATTGTAGTTTGGGATTCTTTCTTTGGCAGATGGTGTACTGTTCCCTGACAGAATTCCAGAAAGCAGTATACCAGGCTGTGCTGGAGACAGAGGATGTAAGCTTAGTGTTACGAGCGGGAGAGCCCTGTAGCTGCAGCAGTGGACGTAGAAGGAAGAACTGTTGTTACAAGGTAAGAGCTTCTACAGTCTGGATTTTAGAATGTGGTTATCCTGTTTGATCAGTAGATAAGTTTTCCTCAGAAGACTTAGTTAAGATGAAAAACTGGTGCAAATGGCTGCCGTGGCCTTGGCACTAGTTTAGTGCGCACATCTTTCTTTTTGGGAGATACTGTCTAGATACATTGGATTGCATCACAAGAACAGTGAGATCAGGCACTTCAGGAGCACAGCACAGCCACTTTACACGTCATGAGCTGGTGGCCATAATATAGATATGTTGGATAAATGGATGCACCTCTGACACAGTTGACAGTGGCAAGCGTACTATTCCAGGATGTCCTGTATGTCAGACATACTGTGACAGTACAGATCAACTGGTCAGCATAGAAGCTGCAAACTAGAGGTATCTTGGACCCAGCAAACTGTTTGGCTAGAGCACAATAAGCTGAAGTTGTGTTTATGTTTTCCTTTGCCTTTACTGAAGGGAGAATTGCATTAGCAGCCAAGTTAAACCAGAAGGAGAACTTTTTCACTAAAGTGACAACTCTTAAAGAGTTCTTCCATCTTCTCTTAAGTTCTTAAAACAGTTGATTAGTCTACGTTGCTATTTGTTTTGTCTGTATCTTTCAATAGACTGAGATTAATTCAAGTGTGGCTAATACACATTTAGCATATATCTCATGCTTGATTTTTCCCTAATTTCCTTCTGATGTGCTTTGGTTTGTGTATTTTTTTTCCAAATCATATAGTTTGTCTTTTACATCTTTCATTGAAAACAATCTGTCAGGCTGTTCAAGCAGTAAGAATGAGAACATTTCGGATGGAAATCAGAGAAGAAATATTCTCTTGTTTAATTATATCATGCAGTAGAGCAATCCATTCATGCTGGTACTGAAACATTAGCTTGTTATGTACACTAGAGAGTGTCCTAAAGGGTAGTGGCCTGGAAGGTATATAATCTTTTTTCTAGATGCCATTTCTTAATTCATGATCAAAAAATAGTTCTGTAGGCAAAGGACTGTTGTCTTTACTAAATTTGTAAGTATTTTTTCATAGTGTAGTAATGTTCTTTTGTTATACCCAAGAACAGTAACTGTTATCTACCCTTTCTTTCTGGGCTCTTTCTTGAAGTAAGAATTCTTCTGGTTTTACTCTGTGTCTTTATTTTAAGATATTACCTGTGATGAGGATTTGCTAATGGCTTTTCATTAATATTAACATTAGTTTTTTGCAGACTTCTGTTTCTCATGATTTCTTTTTTGTAGAACAGATGATGTTTGGCAGGAATGTGGATGCTGTGGTACTATTATAGACCGCGATATTCTGAGTTAACCACAAAATCAAGTAACTTGAGGAGGGAAAAGAAAACCTATATTGGTCATATCAACCAGCCATAACCAGAAAAATAGTTATCTGATGCTATCACTGCAGAGGAAAGCCTTACAGAATGTTTAAAATTGTTTGAGTTATATTACTTCCGATGCTCATAAAACTTGATAAATTTTTGCTGAAAAGTAAAGTTAGCAGTTATTGGTAAGAAGTCATTCAAACGTCTGGTTTCATTTACCTTTAAATCAGTTGTAAAGCTAGCTGATTTTTGTCAACCACGGACTACTTGGTAATCTTAGCAAGTTCCACAGGTACACTATTTGAAATACTTAACAAACTATGAACATAGCTGGGCTTTTTGAGATCTGCTCTGTTAATAGGATCACAAACTGAGAAATGGAGGTGGTTTTTGGTTGTTTTATGTATCTCTTTGGAACCAGTTTTAATGCTACTTACAATTGGTAGTACCGTTAACTATGTGTAGTAAATGTTAGAACAACATTTGCTTTGGGACATTTCTTACTTTCAAGTGAATTTTCATAATTATTTCTTACTTTTTTTGTAGGCAAATGCTCATGGTGAAACAATTAAGTCACTGCGTTTCAGTTACCTGACAATCCTACAGAAAGTTGCAAATCATGCTGCACTGCTGCAGATGGACACTACTAGTAAGCAGCAGGTTAGTTTCAGAAATGCCTAAAAAAGCTCTCGGGGCTTGAGACTAGCAACTATGGGCAGTCTCACAAAAATCTTGGCCCAGGATCAGGATTTGTGATCATGTCTTGCTTCAGTAACTGGAATCACTGATTTCATATTTGAGTCCTTCTTATATGAATAGAAAAACATACAGTAAATGTTTTATCCAGCACTTCTGTACTGAGCTGTACTGCACTGAACTAAATAAAAATATGTAACTTTTTTTCTAGTTGAGTTAGATTAGTGTTAGCCATAAAAAAAGAGTTTAACAGGTGGAAACAAGTTCTCATGTACCTCTAATGTTTATGCCCATCCAAACTTCTTGCTTTTCTTTTAGGAAGCACATATCAAGCGGGTATGCAACCAGGTATTTTCCAGTTTTCCAGATTTTGTGCAGTTAAGCAAAGATGCAGCCTTTGAAACAATTTCAGATCCAAAGTACAGTGGAAAAATGAAGGTAAATTCGTTTTTTTATGAAAAAATCATCTCCTGAATTTAAAACAACGTATAAACAATTTTTTTTATCAGTATTTTGATGGTACCACACTGGAGGTGTTTTTGTATCAGAGTGACACTCTGCAAAGACAGTAAGAAAATAGTAAGTGACCTAAAATTTAATAGCTTTATTTAGTGATAGACCCTGCAGTGATTTGCACATCCTGTGATTCTTGTGACCTCTGTGGTTATTTATTTGGTGCCATACTGTAGAAATCTGTGCTCTTCAGTCCTCGCAAACTTGCTAAAATATATCTAAGAGTGAATGAATGGCTTGTCTAGGTGGAAATGGATCTGCCTTTTAAGGGGAACTTTAATTTTGTATTAATTCAGGATATATGTCTTGGCACAGATGTAATATCCTGAAGTATATGATGATAATTCTGTGCCTGAAAGGAAGGATGCCTAATGCTAGGTTTATAGAGATGCTATAGTTTAAGATGCTGGCATTGTACTGCAAGCTTCATTCATTGGAAGTGGGAGCCTTCCGTACTAGTATATGTAAACTCAAAGTTATTTTATTAGATTACGGAAGTTAGCCACTTCATACGAATTTGAATTTGAGGGTTTGTATTAGATTTTTAAAAAGAGAACTTTTTTTTTTAACAAGCCAAGTAGTCGTCCTTGAAAAATAAAGTGTTTTTTTTTTTTTTTTTGAGTTCATTAAGTTTTGCTTTGGAGTAATTGTAATACCAAAAATTTTCACATGTGTCTGGTATGATAGTGAGTTTTTTGTTTGTTTTTTTTAATACTCATGTAGATTGCGCTGGAGTTAGTCTTCTAAAAGTAAATTGGCTAAATTACATTGTTTTGTTTGTTTGTTTTTGATTTTAAAGAAGAAGCTACTTCGGGTGGTTTTGGTTTTTATACTCTGAAATCTAAGGCATTTGGAGGATTTTTCACGTCTTACTCTGAAAAAGTGCACAGAAGAGCCTTAATATAGTAGAACATAAAAGCTACTTTTTTTTTAAATACTTTTTGAGAAAGAACAGGCAAATTATACTGAAATATTTTTAATAGTCTTGTTCTGCTTTAATAATTAAAATCGTCTGTTCTATAAGTTATAGATGTTCTGTATATTAATTGAAATTGTATTGTAACTTTCCAGTGGTAATGTGGAGCAAACGGTATTAATTGATCTATTTAATTAAAACTTAATTAGGAGTTTTCAGAAATTTTGGCATAGATTATTCTTTTGTAAATGAATATATTTGCAAAGGGAAAGCTTGTCATAATAGTTTGTTCCAGAGTAGAAAAAAAAAATAAAAATAGACAGAAGTTTATTAATGAAGCTCATAAGCTAGGCAATTGCAATTCTTTTGCAGAAATGCAGAAGCAGTGTTTCTGCTAAAGTACTTTCTCTTCTCTGACCATGCACAGGTAGAATCAGTGGGGAAACAGACCCTCGGGCTTTTTTTTTTTTTTTTCTTTTAGTTGTGGGATGTGCCTAGTGCCATCAGTAATGTTGGAATCGCGTAAATGCAATCATGAGGGAGTGAAATAAGAGTGTGGCCACAACAGTCTGCAAGATGTAGAATTTACAATGTGTTGTCCTGGGCTTGCTAGTCACAATTTAAGATTATAAGAAGGACCTGGGTAGAACAGTCCCGGTAATCCAGCTGTGCATACATAAGCATTGCTCATATCTCCAGTATCTCAGAATCACAAAATGGTTGAGGTTGGATCTAGTGCAACTTCTCTGCTCCAGCAGGGACACCCAGAGCATGTGGCAGAGGGTGGCATCCAGGCAGGTTTTGAAGATCTCCAGAGAAGGAGACTCTACAACCTCTCTGGGCAGCCTCTTCCAGGGCTCTGTCAACCTCGCAGGAAAGAAGTTCTTCCTCACATGGAGATTAAACGTCCTGTGTTTCGATTTCTACCCATTACCCCTTGTCCTGTCACTGGCCACCACTAAGAAGAGTTTAGCCCAAGCTCCCTACAGTCACCCCTCCAGGTACTTTAACATGTTGGTCAGACCCCTTCTCAATCTTCTCTTCTCCAGGCTAAACAGGCCCAGCTCACTTAGTCTTTCCTCGTAAGATAGATGCTCCAGTCCCTTAATCCCTTGCTCTGCTATAGAAAGAAGTGGTACTACCCACTTGAATGAGGTGATTTTATCTTAAGCCGTTTTTCTGGAATTATCCCTTTATGCGTTTGTAGTATAACTGAAAATACATTTCAGAAGACTTTTGCAGAAGAACCTTAAAAATTCTATTGCAAGATGAACTTTATGCCTAGGTTTTAACTTGAAATAGTTATGGAATAGTCTACAGACTAGAATGGACTATACAAGGAATGAGGTATAACAGGAATGTGCTGTTATGTAGGCAACTAATTTTCTTTGATCATGAAGCAGAAAAATGGGAAACTGGAAGTGTAAGTGATCCCATTCATTTCAAACACACAGATTGCAGATTGCAGTTTGACAACACCAGAAGTATCAAGGACTATTGTTGCAAAAGAAGTGAGAGAAATGATATAGAGAAAATAATTTAAAGTCTGCAGTAGTTGTCATGTGCACATTGTCTCGTTCTTCTACATTTTTGTTAAAATGCAGACTAAGATGACTATTAAAAATCTCAAAACTTGGAATTATATATATATATATATATTTTGAACTGCCCATAGAATATTGTCGCAAATATTCCTTTGTGTAATTTTGAAGTACTATTCATAATTAATGCAAATCTCTTAGGAGTGACTACCGGATTTTTTTTTCCTGACAATACCATTATTTTGGGAGCAAAATGCAAGTCTATGAAAGCAGACCTGCAAATGATAATAACTTCGCCAATAAACATGACCATAACCCAGGCAGGCATAGCTTTGAAGTCGTAAACATTTGTAGGCTAAAACAGACAGATGTGTACAGATAAGTGTTCTCAGATGTGAGAGGTAAAACTTTTATTTTCTCAGTCAAGCAAATCATAGTAATGTGTAGTAAAGGGGAATGCCCATTTAAATTAATGTAAAAGTTACCAAAAAACACTTTTGTTTTGATTGAATATGATCAGGTATTTCTTTTGCAAAATAACTACTTTCAGAAATACCTAAAATCTCAGTGAGTGTGACACTGATCCATTTTGTTTAAACAAACTGGGTGGAATTTTTTGTGTTCTGCTGTAGGGAATTAATTATTTGACCTATACTTACTACTCTAGTAATACCAGCAGTAATACAGTAGCCACATTATTCCTACTTTAAAAGCATGCTGCTGTCTTTTCATGCATTTTTGTTTTAGTTTGTGTAATAAAATGAAAACGTACTTACCTTTGGTTAAATTACCTGATGGGGGGTTTTTACTCATAAAATTAATCCTGTTCTCTTTTTTTATGCAGTTAAACAGGCTAAATAATCTTGTTTGTTCCTTGTTTTCACTTGTAAGTGGCTGCTTAGTGTATAGAAAAGGAAGTATGAGTAATGGAGAATTACTGTTTTATACTCAAGCTATTACCTCTCAGAACTGTAAAGTTATTGTAAACATTCCATATTACTTGGTTGTTCAAGATTTATTTTAGTGAAATCTGTATTGATTAACAGTTTATCACTGAATAAATAATTTCTAAAAATATTTATTGCCCAGTGGGAGAAAGCTACAGACATGGTACAGAAAATTCTTCTCCCTTCTGTGTATAGCTTCTGCACAGTACTCTTGTGCTGCCATTGCCAGATGTGGACATGCTTCTTTTGAAAATAACAGTATCACTATTATACACAAGGCTCTGGATTATTTGCTTCCCCACCAGAGGAACATGGTGTGTGGGCGGATTATTGGCATTTAGAGGTCTGCACAGAGTCTGGGAAGCCGGGACCTACTGTAAACAGAGCAACAAAAGAGAGTGGGAGCAGGAGGGGCATACATCTCACTGATTATTTTAAGAAGACAAGTTCCAAGAAGTTCTAAACTCAGATGTAGTACAACAAACTTAAATAGGCCTTCCTGTTTTCAGGGGAATTATGCTCATTTGTTAAAGATTCAAAACCTGACCTAGCACATAAGTAGCGTTTTGTTGCAGACTTCTAGACTGAAATATTACTTACCTTTATTACCTTCAGTAATATGATTATCTTGTCACAATGACACCAGAGTTCAATGAAAAATGAATTTCTGTTCTTAGTTTTTCTTTTGCTTTTGACATATTATGTTGCTAACAGTGTTTTTGTAATGCCTGTATTTAACTTTGCAAGGCATCAGTTGCAGTTTAGTTTACTTAAAGGTTGAAAACATAATTAATTCTGCACGAGATGACTTATTTTTTCTGTGATTCATTTCCAGGTCCTTCAGCAGCTTTTAAATCACTTCAGAAAAAACAAGGATAAAGTACTTCTTTTCTCCTTTTCCACAAAGGTAAGTTCTGTATGATTTGTATTGGGTAACAGTAGCACTAAGCTCTGAAGTGTAAAGCACTGAGGATGTTAAAGTGTAAAGCACTGAGGATGTTAGCAGCTGTCTACCACACTTCCTTTCTCTCCATACTTTGGAATATGCTGTTGAGAAGGACAATGTGCAGCATTGTAGCTGGAAGTGTGTGTGCATTTCACTTTAGGGACTTGCTTCCGGACTTCCTTACTGTGGAAAAATGCATTTTCTGAAATGGTGCAAGTTAGGAGGTTATTTGAATATTTAGCATAATATTAAAGAAGTATTAAAGAGGTGAATGATCATGACAGTTCAAATCTTCTCTTTTATGGCTTAAAGGAAGACTGCAAGTTTAGTATTTAGATGCAGTAAAATGCTGATAGGTAAGCCAAAAAATATTAGTAAAAATTAGTAAAATGCTCAGATTGTGATATATGTTGTTTAAAAACAGCCTGTGTTCTAGTTGTTGCAGTGTCTTTCACTTCTTCCCTCCAAAATCTGCCTGGGCGTACCAGCTCCTTGCTCTGTGTTGGCTCTGGAGCTTATTTACTGTACTTTAAGCCATTTTAACTGGCTAAGCTGGTGGGAAAACGGTCAAGTTGACTATCAGTTTATTGAATTGGCTCAGCATCACTCAGACCTGGGACAAGCTGTTGAGGCTGGAGGAGAGAGCAAGTCTGCTTCAAACAAAAATTAATCACCTTAGGCTGCTATAGAGAAAGGTGATTCAAAGATGTTGATAGTAAAAGGGAAAAGACTTGTTCTTGGTTTTGGTGCTTGGTCTTTTAGAAAGAAATACAGATAGTGGTTATGTTGAATTCAAAAAGATACTATAAAATACTTTGTTTTTCACCCCCCTCAGTTGCTTGATGTGCTGGAACAGTACTGTATGGCATCTGGTCTAGATTACCGAAGACTTGATGGAAATACAAAATCAGAAGATAGGATCAGAATTGTAAGAGAGTTCAATGGCACTCAAGAAATTAACATTTGCCTTGTATCAACGATGTAAGAAAAATTAACTTGTCCTTTTTTTATTCTGCCTTTCTAGTGTTTAGAAAATAGGTTACTCTGTTTTTTATTTGACTCTCGTTGGGAGGGATTACGTACTACCCTGAGAAGGGGAATTATTCCTTTGTCTCTATGCCACAGATTGATGCTGTGGCTTCAGACATCTTGAAATACCTGGAGACCTCCCTCCTTCCCCTCTCCTCTGCTTTTGAGGATACCAGATCTGAAGCAAGTGACTTTTCTGAATCCAAACTTGAAAATTCCAGTTGCTGTAGTACTTGACATAGTAGAGTGATCCCCAAAAAGCTTTTATTTTACTAAAGATGGGCTCCATTTCTTTTACTGCGATAGCAGACCTATTAAGTGGGTGTGAATACAAAACACTATGTTGAACTGCAAACACCACATGTAAGATGACCACTGTATACTTCTAAAAATATGCCTCATGATATCTGCTTATTAATTGATGATGAAGAGTCCGTTCTTTTGGAATAGCACAATATGTTCACCTCTAATGAAAATATACTAACTGTTCCTGTTTATACCATGTTTCCTGTTATATGCAGTTTGTGTTATCACTCAAAGGTAGAAAGGGAAGAGCAACCAGCCAAATCTTTTCTTCCCTATACTGTCACTTCCTCCTCCTTTATTAAAAACATGCACATTAGAGGTAGGTAGGGGCAGATACCAGTCCTTGCTAATTCAATTTAATTAGCAGTCAGACATTGTCTCAAGGATCATTGCAAATGGAGCACATTAGAAACACTTTCTAGGTACTGGTACACATGGTAAGAGTTACAAAGAGATTGGTGGTGCTGGTGGTATATGCTTGTTTTACTGCTTGTAATCTCAGTGAACTGTAGTATCTGTCCCTTAGCTTCGCTAAGACCTTCTTCAGGCTAAACAATTAATCTTCTATGAAAACAGCAGGGAATTTCTGCATCTGTAACGTTAGGAAAAAAAACTTGATAGCTTGCACTTTTATCAGTCTAGTTACTTTCAAAACCATAACCTTTTAAGTTCTTTTTTTATCAATTTACTTTGAAATAAAATGAAGTTCAGTTAAACAGGGATAGATTTCCTCCTCCCTTTTCGTAACAGCTTGCACTTGCAGAGCGTGGTGAATTGCCTATTGACAGTGCTTGCGCTGATTCTGTTTTTCATAGTGTTTCTCATCTTATAGAGGGGATAGAAGAAACAAACAACAAAACACACTCAACATTAACCTTTGTTTGCTAAGAAAAACAATGTGTATAATTCCTCTCAAGTAATAAATTTTTTTGCTTGATTGATGTAATAGATCATTTTTGATTTCCAAAGGATTACAAAACAGAACCATCCAAAGTTGGTTCTGTTGTAGTTCTTTGCAAAGATTCTGGTTTTGTTCTATTAAAATTTTCAGGCACTAAGACTTTATAGTATCTTCTAATTTCTCAAAGCATAATGAGTTGACAGAATTGGGTCATACTCTTCTCCCTGTACTTCTTGCAGTGTTTTTGGCTGACTATTCTCTGCAGTCAATTTATATGTGTTCTGAAAGTCCCATTACTCAAAGAGCCAATTTTTTTTTTTTCTCTGAAAACACTTGCACGTTCTTTTGGCTGCAAAAATGCATTCTGCAAAGGATGAATTCCCAGTGTAGTGGTTGTGAGCCTGGCATTTTATTCCATTTGCACAATTAGCATACAATTCTAAGCAAGTAGTATCAGACTATAAATTACTGCATTATAGTACAGTACAGACAGTGACAATGACTGTAAACTTGCAAGCTTCCTGTGTCATATTCCTCTTTTTTATTTTTAACTTTTTTTTTCTCTCCTTTAAACTGGCAAAATATGCCTTTTCTGCCTGGAATTGCTTATGTGTAGCCCACAGAAAACATTTTGGAAATGGACTTGGATTTTAATTGGTTGATGTGTTTTTGGGGAAGTGATGTTTAAATAACAAAGCTTTAAAAAATATTAGTGAAATTGTATCCGTATAGCTTGACCCAAGTGTTGTATTTAATGTATTGATCACAGTTGTACAGATATCCATACTATTTGCAAAACTCTGGATGTTGGCAGAAAACAGTTTTCTGCAGAGCTTGTTAATTCCATCAGACCAGTACATTTAAATAATGAATTTAGTCTAGTTTTAAGCAAAAATATGTATAGTCCTGTTGGAACTTTTAAGGTTCATGGGAAAATAAAATGTTTCTGCTTTTCAGGATTTATTATTTTTTGATCATACTTATAAACGTTAATGCACACTAACAAATGGTAAAATAGTCACTGAACTTGCTAATGAGAAAGGAGAATGTTGGAACTTGCAGCTCCATTGATGCTGATTAGTTTGTAGATGGGGTGCTGCATATACTGGAGTTTGGGCAGTGCTGCTATAAGGTTCTGGAAGAAATAAGAGTGGCTATTATTCCCACCTTTAAAGCTAAAGCTGTATTATTATTTTTCCATACTCATCTTTTATCTACGGTTTTTCTGAAGGCATTAATCTAAAGCCATTTCTTCTCAGTTTCATTTTCTTCTGGTCACGGAGGTGCTTAGGTGATAAGGGTCACAGAAATTTGCAGGTAGATTTTGTCATGGATGGTTACCACATGCACTTCCATTTTACCTGCAGGATTCTCCAAAACAGTTGGAGATCACGTTGTCCATTGCATTGAATGCCTGGCAGGATTCATGTAGTTTGGATTCTGCGCAACTTTGTTGCCAATAATTTTTAATGCATGTAATCTCATTCAAATAATAACAATAATTATAATAATAAAAAGCTTACTCACTTTAGTAAATAGAATTAAGTGGTCGCAGCTCATATGGCTCTTTTTAATGCCATATTATTTTCTAAATTACGAACACTGTGGTATTAAATTGTCAGCTGCAGGATTTAAAAACAAGTCATTTATTTAACACAGTATGCAGTCTTAAAACATGATATTTAGAAAACAATTGTTTGTAGAAGAAATGTTACTAAACCTGAGCGTTTAATTTGAGCCATAGCAAGGATCATCTTGCAATAGTTTGACTTAAGCTTCTGGCTAAAACAATATTTAAAATGGATGATATTCCTTACAAACTAACTTAACTATAGCCTGCCTTCTGTCCACGAAGAGTATAGGAGCCACTGGTTTTCTGCTCCGAAATACATGAATTTCTGTGGCACGCCTAAAAATAGTATAAAGGAATTTTTTTATAAAGCTATGTACCCTCTTCAGTTATTTCACATAATTAGTGTGCATTACTTTCACTAAGGAATTACTGATTAATATTTTGGGTCCAAATTTTGCAATTTTTTAATGCAAAGTCCTTTAGAAAAGCATACTGACTTGTTTCAGCCTTACTGCAGAGTTGGTTTGAAGAAGAGAGGCTGAATTATGCCCTCGCTAATATGAAATACATCAGAATTCCAAAGCACAGTAGTGTATTCTGAAAAATACAAAGGTTTTAATTCAGTATTTTAAACTTCAAGAATGCTCATCCTTCAGAAATGTTTGTTAATATTGGCAGTCTCCCACATCCTCTCCAGTTCCTATTTAACTAACCCAACACCACACCGCACCTGGAAGGAAAAGGCTACAACTACATTTATATTACGGACTCCATGAAAAGGTGTGGGACTCCATAAGCTTTTGGTTTTTGCCTCCATTCATTCTTTTTCCTGCAATGCTTTCCCATTGCTTTAAACAAGCTTAGGATAATATAAAGTAATCTACTCAAAAGACGTGTTTGGTAAATTAAATTGGATTAACTTCAGTTTTCCAGTACCTCGTTGGACAAATTCCATATTGAAAGTACTGAACAATATAAAAAATTGTTTTATTAGTTAAGAGTAATACTGTTTTGCGTGTGCTTCTGTAGAAGCTTTTGTGTTTCATGGAGGAATGTTGACTGAACCAGGTTTTTTTTTTTTTTTTTTGGTATATGCTTGTTTTGCAACTTGATAAAAAGTGGTATTTTCCTCACTTTGGTTCCTATCTAATGAGTCTGTTATGCACATGCCAAATTCTAAGTAACTGAGCAGTTTTGCTGGATTCAGCAATGACGTTAGTCAGCTATCTCAGGTTAAATATATGCTTCAATTCCTTGCTGGCTTGCATGTTTTATCTGAAAGCACTCCACAGCTGTTAAATGTTTATCATGATGTAACCTGGTAAGCTGAGCTATCCATACAACTCCTTCTCCCCAGCATGGCTTTCTTAACAATGATTTTTTTTTTCTTGTAATGACCTTTGAATGTTGCTCACATGCAGCTGTGAGGCCAATTAGACATCTAATACTTGACTAATAAACCATAGGAAGATACTTTTGACAGTTCTTTGTTCATTAAGAATAGATACGAGATATTCTAGATTAGTGAAAGATTAGTGAAAGATAATTACATTGTTGTCAAAACCATATCCTGGGTTTAGAAGCAGTAGAATTTAGTGCAGATTCTTAGTCCTGCTATATCTTAGCTGTGGTTTTCCTGTTGGCATCATACATCTACAATGTTAACTGTTAACTACAGCTAAATAGGGTTAATTGTAAAGTGGTTATTAATTTCACTATACTCTGAGGGAATTGGGCCCTATAAGTCACTGTGGGCATGAAGTAACAGACAGTTAATTTAGTAAAATAAGGTGACAGGAGCTGTTCCAAATGAATTGTTTCTTAGGTGCCTTCTTGCCATTGAGGTGCAAAGACTGCATTTCACAGCAGTGGTTATGTGAGAGGTTGGTAGTTATTAATGCAACAGTAACTCAAAGCCCGCTGATTCAATTTTTTTGTTTTATTATGGTTGGGGAATGATATGCCAACATGGATTATACCCTAATGCATTGAAATAAATATCCTAGCTTTTTAGCTATAGGATAACTTTTTATTTTTATTTTTTTATTATTATTATTATTTTAGGGCTGGTGGACTGGGTCTCAATTTCATTGGTGCTAATGTTGTTATACTGTTTGATCCAACCTGGAACCCAGCAAATGATCTTCAAGCTATTGACAGGTACATTCTCAAACTATAGAACTTGGTCCATGTTGTGTTCTTTTTGTTTTGATCCTATAGTTTTTTTTTTCCTTTGTGGCCCTTTCATAAGGGGGTTATAAAAATGCCAAGCTGGATGGCGTTTTTCCTGTGTTTGTCAGGGTGAAGTACATTATCACTGACCTTAATTAGAGTGTGGTGTTTCCAGAATCCATAAAGAAAACATCCATGTTCTTTTCAGCCTCACCCTCATGGAGATTAGCCTCTTTTCATCACTCACTTCTGAGTCTGACATTATGCTACTGCAGTATTTCTAGGAATCTGGATTTTTCTTTTGTTTTTTTTTTTGACCATATTGTTTCCTCAGTAAGGACAGACTTCTGAATAGCTAAAGTAAAAGAATCGTGGGAGCTTTCAAAATCCAGTTATCTGATATATTTTAATGAGCAAAAGTAAACTTGCTTTTGTTGTCCCATCCAACTCCATTTTAAGCCTCTTTTCTGATTTCCAAGAGGTGTTTATATATATCTATCCTACTTCAATAAGTCTGTCAGAAATCTGTATTGTTGAAGAAACTGTCCTTATGGAATCTTTGTGAGATTACGGTTCTACATGGTTCTGCTTCTTTGAATTTTCTGAAAGTAACCTATTAGAAGTTTAAGAGTCTAGTAATTTGAATTGGTTAACCCCTCTTCATTATCTATTTTAAAGCAGATAAACAGTTCTTTAAAAAGTTAGGAAAGCACAGGCTGCCTCAAGTAATCCATGAGCTAACACAGATATCTTGTGCAAGACCAGATGTAGACATGGAGGAAAACAAACAAACAAAAGTAATGGAAGATGTGTTTTCTTGAGAGATGGGAGACAGGCCTTGTGATATCAAGAGATGAAAGCTTTTTCAGCTGCATAGGGCTGGGAAGAAAAATACAAAAGAATAAAAGGGGATGGAATGCTGAGAAAGCTTTTAAAAATAAAAAAAAATTTTACTTATAAATGATTTAGAGTATTTCTGCTTTCCTGGAATTATGTTTTTTTTTTTTTTTTAAACTGCCCCTAGGAGCTCTCTTTATGTTTACTAATAAAGAATATGGTTTTCAATATGGCATTTTCTTTGCAGAGCTTACAGGATAGGTCAATGCAAAGATGTTAAAGTGTTTAGATTGATATCCTTGGGAACTGTGGAAGAGATGATGTACCTACGACAAGTCTATAAACAGGTAAATTTCACAAAACTGTTTAAATCAGTAATTGTTTTTAACTAGCCTATCACAAAATTTAGTTTATTGTGGTTTTTGGTTTATACTGTTATTAATAGATTTATGTAATTGTAAAACATTATATATTTATATAAATATAAAGCAATATTTCATTCTATGTGCTTCTTTAACTTTGGACATGTTAAATAGGTAACATGCATTCATCAGCTGTTACTAAGGAGGAATCTGTTTTATTTACAGTTGTAAAATAACATCTGCTAGAGGAAGGTAGTACATGTGGCAGCCGGATTCAGGCAATTTTTTCCTTTGAAGGATTGGAGGGAGAGAGCAAAATCTTACAAAAGGCCTCTCTTTGCTACCTTTGCTTCTTTACTACCTCCTGTGTGAAGGAAAAGGAAGTAGATTGTTTGTAGCTATTGGCAACTATGAAGTTGCCTGATGAGATCTTCAGCTTGGAACAATTGCTCTGGGCTCTGAATTTTGGTGCCTGTTTTAACAGATTTTTAAACTAAAGACTGGGAAAAGCAAAGCAATGCAAAATAGTGTGTAGTTCGAGGTTCACATTATCTAGCAACTGCTTCCTGTGAGATGGGACATACAGAAAATCAGCAAACTAAAATATCAAAAGCAGAGTAGACTGAAGATAAATAGGAAACTGGGCAAAATCTGAACAGTTTTTTTTTTTCATACATAAAATATGCAAATCTAAGCAGTAAAATGGAACGCATTATTATAAATTCAGGTATGGTCAGTATAGACATATAACATAAAGTGGGTGAAAGCAAGGAAATCAGTGAGAGACAGTCATATGTTGGATTAGAAAGACAGGGTAAGTGAGTTCAGTGAGTAACTCCTCTGAGAAAAAAAAAAGAAATTAACAAGTTAATCTAAACTTTGAATTATCATCCATAAATAGAAAAAATATGGTACTGGCACTCAGTATCAATTACCATGTTGTAATCATGACAGATTTTTTTCGCATTTAAAGGAGGTTGAAGATGGAATGAGAAATGCCTTAATAGTGAGATTGCCATTACCTTCACACAGATTTAAGTAAGTGACAAACAAAAACAAGATTCTGAGACCAAAATACTTGAACACGGTATCTGATTTCATAGAGCATATATTCAGAAATTGCACAACTATAGGACTAAATCTTGAGTTGCTCTCAGGAGTGCATATGGCCTGTTTTAAAATGGTATGATGAAAAGTGCAAGAGTGACCGTAGCTTATTTGAATTCATTATCTTGCAGAAGCTGCAAGAATAGTTCTGCTTAATTTTAACAAAATAAATAAATAAAAAGAAGAAACCTCTTAAGAGTATGTGAAGGGGCAAAGTGTTTTCAGCTAATCAGACAATTTCAAAGATTTTTGAAACTGTATCCTAACAAGGCAAGTCAGATTTAAAAATACTAAAGTTTAAAAAGATTTTTGAGGAACTTAGGGCTAAAAGTATAAAAACTAAAAATATATTTTCAAACATGTCTGGAGAAGGAATCCTGTTGGAGTATCTGTGTGGGCATTGCTTAAGCAAAATTTAAAATGCAAAGAGTGTTTGTAGCAAAAAGACTCTTAAATACTACATATCCATATTCTTGAAGTCTTAGAGAGTTTCTGTCCTTGTGGGAGATACTTCTGAGGATTTATCTCAAAGACAAGTACAAGTATTAGACATTTCAGAAAGACTAAGAAAATGACAAATAGCAAATTAGCAGGACCAGCTGTATTCACTAAAAATCCTAAAAGATGGAAGCCATGCATTAGTGAGTCATTGGAGTTAATAATCTTGGGATAAGGGCATCCTGGATGATGCTGTCTGCTTGGATTTTCAAAAGTCGTACCCAGACTCCTTTTTGCATGTAGCCTTTTTTTTCTTTTTTCTTTCTTTTTTTCAAGTTCATGTAGAAAAAAAAGGCAAAACAAATCATTGTAAATCTGGGATTGTATGAGCGCATGTGAACATGTAACTTTTAGTAAACTATGGAAATGAACTCCTGAAGACAAAATATCATCTGTCCTGTGTGGGAATTGAATTTATGCAAAGTGCTTTGTCATGTTGTATTGTATTCTTACTGAAGGATGTACTTGATTTTAAAATCATTGCATTTTTTTTTATTAGCAGCAGACAATTGTCTGACCCTGTGAGTCAAAATCTAAAGTAAACAAAATTTAAATCTAAAATATATAAACCTAAATTAGCCATATATGTATTCTAAAAAGTAGTTTTGTAAATACCGTGAACAAGTTGAAAAATATGTTACTTTTGCCTAGCTGAAGTTTTCACCTTTCTTGTATAATTCAAGAAGCAGTTGCTGTCTTGGATATTCAGTGCTAGAGAAGTAGCAGTGAGCAGACCTCCAGAACTATGAACTTCGTAGAGACAGTTACAAAAAATATTGCAAGTCTGGTATCCATAAAACCTAAATTTTGACATTCCTCCTGCTCAAGTCAAATATACCAATTATGTAAGTATTTAAAATTTGCAGTCGTTGGAATGCAGCTAAACCTTCCTGACTTCAAGAATGTTTGCGTTCTGTCTGACAAGCTGGCTATTTACTTGTCCTCTTCTCTTCCACATGGAAGACTTTATTAGTCACAATTCACTTAGCAATAGTGCATGGGAACTAAAATATTCAGAGGCCAGTAGAAGTAACAACATGATTTGATTTAGTGCTTGCCAAGTAAGCATACAGTACACCAAGGGCTATGAAAAAATATCAAGAAATAGTACTGAGGAAAGATAAGTACTCAAAATGCAGAGTGGGTATAGTAGGTGCCTAATACAAGACAACAATAAAGTAGAAATGTATCTTTTTTTTTTTTTTTTTTTTTAGCTCAGTTAAGACGGTCAGGTTCATATTATACCACAATGGCAACATCTGCCAGGGAAATTAAAACAAAATATCCTCCCTTAGGAATTTCTGCCTGCTCCAACTAAAGCTGTGTATATAATGTGCATGCCAGGAAATTCTGACATGTTGTTGGAGCAAACACTTCTGAAATCTCTTGTGTTGTTCTGTTTTAGCAACTTCACTGTGTGGTGGTTGGAAGTGAAAATGCCAAGCGGTATTTTGAAGCAGTGCAAGGATCAAAGGAACATCAAGGAGAGCTTTTTGGGATCCATAACCTCTTCAAACTTAGGACTCAGGGGTCCTGTCTTACCAAAGACATTCTGGAGGTGTGAAATTTTTCCTTTTCACTTTTGGATATTAGTTTTACTTTTTTCATTTCCTAATGAAATAGTGTTATTTTGTAATAACTTTGAATGGGGGCGCTTTATAGAACAGAATTGTGAAACTTAGCAGTGCCTGCCTGTGCAATGCCTCAGATGAACTAGACCTGTTAACTTTTCTGTCTAATGTAAGTCAGAAAAGTTTCCTTACATCAAAAAAAAAAAAAAAACTCTCAAGTATGTTTGGTTTATAATACGTAAGAGCTTGCTAATGCATCTCTCTTCCTTTAAAAAAAAAAACGAGTTTGGGTGTATTTTCAGATATTTTCAAGATATTCTCAACTTATTGCACAGATGTCTCCTATTCATCTTCAGCAATAATTGTCTTTAAGCCTGAATTCTTTTCACAGAATGTTTTTTTTTTGATCATGTGATGATGGTAACCTTTATATAGAATGTATTGAGATGAGGAAAAACTGTTTAATAAGATACTACCATACCATTCTATACTACCATATTTAAAAGATGTTGCAGGGTTAATGGGGATAACTAAGGCTTTACATTTTAGTCTAAGAAGGGTGCAAGCCCAGATCAATAGAGTGTAGTGCAAAGTGGGCTTAAGTATGTGTAACTTATTGTTTTCGTTTCTTCTTCTTTTTTTTTCTTTCCTACTCACTATGTTTGTTGCAGATGATTTGTATCTTGGGATTTATTGCTGTCTAACCCTCTCTTCATTTTGTTATCTTGCCTATACAAGGAGGAGGCTGGGGAAAAGACTGTGATCAGTGTCATATGCATAGTAGTAAGAGTAATGTGAGAAAAATATATTTTGGAGATTATCAGCTGAAAACTTCTCTGCTGAGATCTAAATTAAAAGATGGCATGTACTGTAAATACTGCAGTAGGTATTTTGCTATGGAAAAGAAGTCTAAAAATATGAAAACAGTATCCTCCCACTTATACAGAATGTCATCTTTCTTGGTGGTAAAGGGTTAGATCAAAACAGCGGTAAGTTTGTTGCCTACATGTAAGTGTTGGTGACTTTGGTGATTCTACCCCTGATGCTTTTGCTTCTGTGGGAAGGAAGACTGATTCTTGGGGCTTTTCTTCATTAACTGAGAACAAGCAGTTACTGTTGTTCTGCAATATTCTTCATCCCTTATAGAGGGAAGGGCGAGTAGAAGCAGGAGTTATGACAGCGACTACATGGCTAAAGGAAGAGACTGCTTCAAGCATCTCAGAAAAGGTGAGCTGCTTGTCATGCATCATTGACGTGGATGACAATTAGTGACATGCTGTTATAGAGCAACATGTCTCTTTCTGAAGTATTGCTGAATAGCACAAAATAGGGATATGGATTGGGCAAACGGAGGTTGTTTTAGCAGTGGGCAACTTCTATTTTCTCAAATGCGTAATAAAGCTTTTTAATGCTATATTCATTATTATTCTTTCAAACATTGTCATATAATTTCCACTTAATTTGCTTTCTGTTTTTTGTCTATGTTGTGTTACTGTTTTGTATACTTTTGGAAAATACACAGTGAAAATGCGCATTCTTATACTACTTCAGAGTAAGGTTTTGCTTCATATGTAACATATGTTTTAAATAATGTGCTTTGTTTGTGATATCTAACTTCAGTGTAAATTATTTTTCTTGTTTTAGTGTGTACAACCAAGCTGTGAAGATGATAGAGATCTCCCAAATATTAAGACAGAATTAAAGAAAGGAGAAATTGATTTTTATGATGATTTTAGTGATGATGATATTCTGGAAATTTCTAGGAAAAAAATGGAGAGGAGGAAACCTTACACTGCAAATAATTCAATGATAGCACAGGGACAACTTTCTCTAATGCAGTGTGGCTTCTCTAAATTGTTGCAGAGAGAAGTCAATACTACCAAAGAGAGTGGTAGTATTGATGATGCTCATCGATCAAGTTCTCAGGGGCAGGCTGTAAAAACAAGTGTAAATAACAAGAGGAGTGATTCCCACAATTACCAAGGCCATATCTGTGCTTTGGAGCATGGGAAAAGGACTGAGTCGCTAAATGTAACTGATAAACAGGATGCACATGGTGCGAGTACAGCCTCAAACTGGCTGGTTTTGTCAAACTCTGAGGAAGAAAACGACAGGGAAAGTCAAGATCAATGCCTTTCAAAGCAAAGTGATGTGGTCATGGAAACAGAAAACAGTTCTGATGAGAATGATGATGTCATCCTTCCTACCCAAGATCCAGCTCAACAAGAACGTGTGCTTACTAAAAATATTGAAATCTATAAGCGAGCATCTGAAAATTTTGAAAAGTCAGCAAAAAAAAAAGATGGGCTGTTGTCTGAGGAAAACAGTGAACAGCCTGGTAATACTGTGTCAGCTTTCTGCAAAATCATTTCTGTGGAAGACAATAATACCGAAAGAGATTTGAAGGGGGCCAGTGACATTAGTTATGAGTCTGATGATATTGAAATTCCTCATAATTCAGAATCTAGAAAGTTAAAAACTTGTAGCTCTCCAAAACGGAAACAAACACATGACCTTAAAAAAGAATTTGGTAACTTTTCCAAAACTCTACTGCAAAGAAAGAAGCAAAATAAACGAGAAAGGAGAAGTAATTCACAGAATATAGATGAATTTTCATCCTCAGAAGATAACTTCCCAGTTGAGAAAATTAGTGCTCGAAAGCAAAGATTTAAGTGTAAAGGCAAGAGAGTTCAGTTTGCGTCTGAAGTGCCTCGTGATACTAAAGATATCTCTGCTGCACGAATGAAGCCTGGAAATTTTTCTGTGCCTAGAAGTTCTGTGAGTAAAACAGAAGTTGACAGTCGGGATCGAAGACTGGGATCAATGGACATATATTTAGGTAGCTAGTCATTTCATTTAATTTCCCTTTTTTTTTTTTTGTCTCATCTGAACTAGTAACTTTAATTTGTATCTGTTGGGAAGTTTTAAGATCTTTCTTTTATATATGTTTTTATTACACAATATAAATTAGTATTCCATTAAGTTACTTAGCAATATCTGTCTTTTTTCTTACCTGCTAGTCTTCCTTCTGTCTCTTGAGATCTTAACAGAACTGACAACTTTCAGGAAAACCTTTAAAAAAAATCTGCTTTTTCAGTGCAACTGTGTATTTTCGGGTTTTGGCATGACCAGCAGTTTTGATTATATTTCTCCCCCAATGTATCAGATGGTGTTCGAGAAGTGGCTTATATTCATTCGAATCAGAATGTGGTTGGATCCAGCAAGGCTGAGAATCGTTTGAGTCGGTGGGCAGTACGAGATGTCTTTGAGTTGAAGCAGTTTTCCCAGCTCCCCGCTAACGTAGCAGTCTGCAGTGCCGAGGTAAAGAGAAATGTTTGGGAAATGTTTTGGCTCTATTTTAATCTTTATTTATTTTTTCTTTAAGATGAAAAATAACAAACTTCTTTTTCTGTTAATGGCTGCCATGAATGAGCTAAAGCCTCAAAGGATGGGAGGAGGAAGGGGCTCAAATGGCATTCTAATAAATTACCATATTTACTTTTACATTGGTCAGTTCTGAAGGAGTAGTTGAGCAGCAGATGACCCTCTGTGAGTAGATTCGTTTTGATTTGATTTGTTTTGTGGGTTTCTTTTGGGGGAGGGGGAAGGGGAATGGTGAGAGGAATGCTACAAGTAAAGTTTGAGAATTTAAGTAGAAATTCTGTGCTGTTTTTCTCAATGAAACTTAAAAATCTTCATTTTGTCTTCAATCGTGTTAACAGAAGTTGAGCTGCCAGAGTGCAGAGTGTATGATGTCTCTGTGGCATAGACAGTCAAACATAAATCATTTCACAGAGTATGTGTGTGTGCTATGTATAAGTAAACATACAGTCACTGTAATGCATTAAATTGGCCATTATAGTCCATGCTGAAAGCTTAAAACTCAAAACTAGAATTAATTGAGAGTGTTGATTTCCAGTGACAGGTATGCTTTTTGTGCTTCTTGTTCATCATGCATCTTGCTTAAACTTTTTTTGGAATACATGCAAGTCTGGAATAAACTCAGGTACAGCTTTGAGGTTTGTGTTCTTACAGTGTGGTGGTTTTAATCTAGTTTAAACACGTGAGCAATTCACTTTTGGTTGCCGTATAATAGACATTTGTGGCCTTCTTGACTGATTCGTGAGTTAGACCACAACATAAAAAAAGTAATTGGGGAATGTGCAGGTTGTTTTTCACAAATATTTTAGCAGCCATCACAGAAGTCATTGGTTTAAGACCATGCCATTCTGGAGTGTTGAGCTTCCACAATAGCTAAAAGGGCCTTCCAGTGTTGTTGTACTGTAATTAATTGAATCATTAGCAAGAATGCCAAAGAATTTTTACACTAGGAAGATCAAACCAGGCCAACACAGTGAAAAGTGAGCCCTTTTCAATTCTAACACATTTGCATTAGAATATCCCTTCTTATCAAGAAATTAGGTAAAAAATACTCAAGAAAACTGTAGAAAGATACTTACTTACTGGCAACGGCTGACAACGCTAACAAAATTCTAAAAAATGAAAGAAAAATTTGGAAAATGGTGCTGCATAGGAATATATGATTCACTATCTCCAAAACCAAAGCCTATGGGACTTCAGATTTATTTGTGTAATTTATATCTGTGTCACACGATTCTGTGCCACGTGCTCTAGGTGTCCCTGCTTGAGCAGGGGGCTTGGACTAGATGATTTCTAGAGGTCCCTTCAGCCATTCTACAATACAATTTTTACACTATATATTGCATTCTCTTGATTGTGTTTTCTATTTATGTTTTCTTCCTTCAGACGCAACAGCAGTTTTGTATTCTCTTAGAGATCTAAGTAGGAAGGAAAACATGAATAATAGCAGAAAGGTTGCCTCTTGATTTCATTTCCTGTTTTTACACAGAAATGTTAAGCTAGAAAAAATCACTAGATGGCCACCTGTTTTAAATGAGGAAATCTTGAGTTTTATGTCCTTTACTTAAAGAGCTGGTAGAGCTGCACAGAAAACTTTGAAAAATGATCTACTTAGAATGTTACTGCTATTATTTTCCCTGTTTTTTTTTATTTTATCCTTATTTCAAAAGACATTATGTAAAAAGCAGGATCATTGTTTTTCTTCTGATCATCAGCTTTTCTTGGTCATTATTCCCTTACTTTCAGTTTAAGGTATGCTATTCATTGTCAGTGCAATTCATTGTATTAACATCAAGAAATTGCCAGTTCCAGAAGCGGTGTAATCAACAAGACTTTTAACAGGTTAAAATTGCAACATATGTAATATTAAAATATAATTGATAGAACTGAATTCTTAAATGTTTTAGGGATATAGAAAGGTATTATTAAATCCTGGAATGTTATTTGCAACATCTTGAGAGAAAAACATAGTTTTTACCAAACAACTGAATTTTCTTATTGATTTCAATTTGTAGCATCATAGTTCTGACAGGTTGTCTTCAAGTGTTGATGTGCAACTGTTTCTCTCCTCTCTCTCTCTCTCTCTCTCCCCCTCCCACCCCCTCACCCCCCTTTTCTATCCTGGTCTCATTCATAGTCACGTGTAAATTGTGTTGTAGCTTTATTTAATAGCATTGTGAAATTTCCTGGACAGTGCTATGATAGTGTATTTTCTGCATGCCCTGCTTTCAGTGTCTTGTAAATGAACTGTCTAAATAGGAATGATCAAAAAGAGGATCTTTTTCCTTATAGTTCATAAGGGAGTCTCTTTGGATGAAGAGTAAAATATCTTTTTTACTCTTCAATACATCAAAGTCATCTCCATCTTCCTGTTTTGCCGGGCAGTCTTTCTATAATATGGCTCTTCTTAATAACGTTCAAATGTATCTTTTGAGAAACTTATATCCTCAAAAAGAGATGAGCACTAAAGACTAACAGTGTATTCAGTTGAAGTGGCTGAGTTTTAAGTTGGGAAAATACTGTTTTTTCTACAAATCTTGGTTGAACATTAAGTAGAACATTTTTTGGTTTCTACTTACATATGAATCTAGACTGAGAAGAGAATTAAACAGCATTATCAATCAACCACAAATAGCAGTGTCAGATCAATGTAGATTTTGAGGAGAAAGAACAGAATAGAACATATTGTTGCATGATAATCTCCTGCCAAGTGAACCACTATCTCCTGCCACTATGTTTATAATAATGCTGTTTATGTGGAAAGAACGTTAGGCTTCCGTAGGTAGAGGTGTTTAAGAGCCTTAATAATCAATTAAAGGCTAGTCATTCTTGTTCCATGGAGAGATGTGGCAGACAGCTGTTCCTGAAGATATTTTGGAGATACAGATTATCCCACATTACTGACTTAATAGTACATCTCAGTCAACCTCTCCGCTGAAGCCATTCTGTGTAGTTATAAAAATGTGTTGAACCTTGGCATTTTGGAAAGCAGTCAAGTGATGCCTTAGGGAGCAAAGATTTTTGGCTCTTTGTAGCCTTTCATAGTAATTTGCAAGCGTGGAGGCAAAAATGCAGGCTGTTCGTAACTTCTCCTAGCAAGTTGCCACACAGAGGCAAAAATACGGTTCCATCGCAATGCTGTGTGTGAGAGCCACACCAGGTGTCAGCACTGTGAACACCTGGAGACAGAGAGTGCATGCTGCTCAGTGCAGCACACGGCTGCTCCAGGAAGAGCTATCCAGAGCTCACCCTTGTGCTTCTGCAGTCATTCACGTGACTGCAAAATACACTTTGTCTGATACCCCGGATAAGGTTATTCTTGAAAGGGGCTTTCTGGTCTTTTGTGAAGGTTTGAGTGAAGATTATCTTCAAAAATACATCCGCACATCCGTACATGCTCTTTCCTGCATTTTGTGTTGTTTTCACGCTTATTTAATTACATTGAGTCATATTTTTTCTGCATCTTTATTTTAGTTCAAGTACTTGGCACCTGTGTGAAAATACATTGCTATATATCGATAGCTGTTTCATGAAACTAACAGATGGTTATCACCATTTGTTAGAAAAAGTTCTTTGCATTGTTTTTTGTCTAGTTTGGTGACTGAAGAAAGGAGAACATTCAAAATAAAAGCTCTGAAAGAGGAAAGCGTGCAATAACCCTCTAGACTGGACAGGGTAGCCTTCTAAAGCTGCAGTAAATCTTCAAGGGAAGAAAAGGACGGTTATTGCAACTGTTGCACAAAGTCATGAGACACGTTTATACAATTTTTAAAAAAATCTTCTAGCATTATGAATTTGGGGAAAAAAAGTGTTAATGTTTTCTGTAAGGTCTTAGTCACCTGCTAAGTATTTTCAGTCATTTGCTCTCTTTTTCTTCATGGTTACAGTTACAAAACATTTTTTTTTTTGTGCAAAAGTTTATGACTTATTTTTGGGTAACTTTCATTGTCATTTGTTAAGATTTTCTTGGTTTTCCATAATAAATGGAGGCCTCCCAGAGCCAAAATGAAACATCCTTTTCTAATGTTTCTAGTCTGTTGTGAATTAAATGTCAACTTTCTGTAATTAATTCACTAATTAATTTCTGTTAATTGGCACAAACAACCTGTGAGAAATATTTTACATAAGTCTGGAAGAGGCTTTCTTTAGTTCCTACAAAGCTGAATTTGCGAAGTATTTTTTCAATAGGGATCTTGTTGCAGGGGTTGGAGCATGAAGGGAGCTTTGGAGAAGGCTTGGAGATTTCACAGAAAAAATCAAAAATGGGAACAGGACATCCCAAAGCTGGTGACATCCTACAGTAGAGTTCATTTACTCTTCTTAATACCTGGAAATGTATCAACCACAAAAACTGTACCTTTTGAAAATGTGGGGGTCTTTTTAAGCCAACTGCATGTTTTTAACTCAAGTTTACTTAAAGTTTTACTGAAAAGCAATGTACAAAGACAGCCATTCAATTGAGGATTAATCACTATGGCAACAGAAATGTGGTGACTGAAAAGGGGGAGGATATATTCTCCCCTCAGCTTCCTGCCAGCTGTCATATTCAACCTCTGTAGCATGAATTCTGGCCAAAATATAGACTGTGACCAGCTTTAAGAAACTATATCTGTATTTTTATAATTTGGTACAAGAATCACACAATAAAAGAAAACTTAATCCTCTGAATTGGATGACAGACACTTGGCACTCTTGCCAGTGTTTGGCAGAGAAATAACTGGATGCTTTGTAGTAAAACCTGGATTAATGGTAAACCCTTCTTTATGTTATTGCAGTGTGGTGTAAATGAGCGAAGTAAGCATGCTGTCAGCCAAAGAAAAAATGTGCCTTTTTATCTCCAGTGCAGGTTAAGTGCTGTTGATAATATTGTAAATATTAAAGTTGTGTTATTAGAACTTCTCTTTATCGTATTTGTATTAAATTGACATTTTATAGATTATTTAAGCAAAGACTTTTGATCAGTTATAGTAATTCTGATTGCAGTGTGTTTGCACAGCTTTTGGGTTTAGCAAGCTTAGACAGTTGTTTACAATGAGTAGACTTTTGGGAGATAACATTCCATTCTACTTGTTCTTTTGGGATGGAGAAGCTATTCAGCTTTAATATAATTGTTCCCAAATGATCAGACTGTACTGCTGCTTTATTGAGTTTACTGTTTCAGCTTACAAAAAGAATTAACCATTTCAGGATGTCTTTCACTTTTTTTTCTCTCTTTTTTTAGTGCAGTGAGTTGTTTATATGTGGTATTTTGTGAAGCACATAGTTAGATTTTCTTTATGGTGTAACTGCCTGGATTTTAGTTTAATTCTCTTTGTTGGAGAGGTCAGGGCACTGTAGAAGATAGGTGCCAGTCTACAGACTTCTGACAGAATAAGCAATTGCCTGGGTTTTGAATTCAGACAGACTGATTATCTCATTTTCAACAGTATGATAACTATATTGATTTATATCCAGGTTTTTGGAGCAGAAAAATGATGTATTACTTTTATGAATTTGTTTTGTTAAAAAGTCAAGTTATGGCATGAAAATGCTTCTGAGAAATGCTTGTCCTGTGCCAAATTGGAGAAGAGACAGTGCGACTCAGAAGGTAATGCAAACCAGGAGAAGCCCATCCTTGGTTGACCTGACAGTCTGCTCTTCACTGCTATGGCAATTTGTCCTTGGGCTCAGTTGAACAAGTAAAACTGAGAGAGATGACAACCAGGAGAAAATATGACTTAGGATAAGTTTAACTGTGTTTTTGTAGCTTGAAGAATATTTTAGCTTTTGTTCTGCTATGGTATTACCAGGTACTAGATTATTGTCACTGTATGAATCATCAACATCCTGAATAGTTTTGTCTAGTTCAGCAGCTGCAGGAATAAAATGCAATTTTTCCAGAGCAGCTGAAATTTAGCTTCATTTTCCAAGGCAGCTAAGGTGGTGAATATTATCTTCACAATTACATCAGATTTTTATTTTGCGGTCCTGTTTTATTTGAATGATAGACCAGTTAAGTGTGAGGGAGACAGCATTTCTCTAAGGCAGCTCAAATTCTAAGGAAAAAAATGATGGGCATTTTAGAAATCATTATAAAATATGATGGTCTTCAAGCTTACTTCAAGCTGTGAGATGTATAAATCACCTTTGAAGTGCATCATTTGTTCAGTACAATATAGATAGAAAGCAATTTTGACTTGGTTAAGAATTAACTGAAAATAGGCGTTTTCTGATTATATGCTCTAGATACCTATTATATGTATGAAGGTATGGACTTTATTTTTAAAGCAAGAAGAACCAGTATTTAGCCATCTCTGCTGATAAAAAGAAGGAAAAATTATTACAGTTTTATGTGAATGTCATAGAGAATTTCATAAGATTTTGTTTATTATTTGGTTGCAAGTGAGTTTGAAAAGGAAACTCTTAACATCTGTACTGTCTTTTCTGCTTTTATGTGGCACTGCTTGTGGCACTGTAGAGGCACATCACGTAGTCTCTTAACCAAGGAATGAGAAGAGCACGGACTGAGCCGTATGGAGGATTAATCATTTTCTATTACTTTAATTCATATTTTGCAAGAATGGCTTATGCATATGAAGTACAGGATAATATCAGACAAATAAGGCCTGTGTTGTAATGTAAATACAGGTTTTGATGTAGGAGGAGTGTTGGTGTAGACATGGCAGACAAAGTTCCTGATAGAGAAACAGAAAATAGAACGTTGTTGGAAGGAAGATGCTGTCAAGAAGGAGACTTGAATCAGTAAGTTATAAGGCAGCCACTGAAAGGGGGATTCAGAAACAAGTAATGCATGAGAGAGAAGTCATTTGAGTAGCCTTAGAGCAATAAGTCAAATGGTAAAAGAAAGCATAGTAATAAAATGCTGAAAAGTAGACAGAGCTTTTCACCTAAACAGTAGCCCTAGTAGAAAGATGTAGGGCGTCATCCGGGTGTCTCTCAGAATAATGGACTTTAAAGAACACCTTAAGAAAAACTGAAATAAGTATTTTTGTTGGGCTGACAAATTTTCTTACAGAATCCAATATATATAGAGACACCCAGATGTGTCTCTGTATATATATATTTATGTAGGTGTATATAATCTATATATATCCCCTTATATACATATATATGTGTGTGTGTGTATATAGATATATGGGGGAGAGTTGCTTTCAATTTTCAAACTTTCAGAAATACTCACAAATTCAGTAGAGACAGTTGTGCTACAGTCTAACTGGGCACTATTTAACCTATTGGCTTTAGTCCAGACAACCGAGATGAGCTGTTTAAGAGTAATTTGCAGTGGCCTTGAGCTTTTGCTAGTATTTGCTCTTATAGCTCTTGGGATAGCTGTTTATAGTAAATTTTTCTATGTTTTGGAATAAGCTTTCAGCAGCTTATTTGGGCAGAAGAAGAGGAGCTACATGTCTGCATGGTGGTTCTCTGTTGTTTTGGATTTGCCAGTGTTGGTCTATGTACTTTGAAGTTTTGTACTTGCAGGACCAAATAGACCATTTCTAGGTTTATTTATAATAAGTATTTCTACAGGAATCCTGATTCTCTGCAAAGAAAAGCAATTTTATAGCTTTCAGTATGTTTACAAGTTTTGGCTTTTTTCCCAAAGAGAGAGATTTTTAATCTTCTATGTTTGAACACATGTGTAAACCAAAGTATTGCTGCTTTATATACTTTGGTTTTGTTTATTAAGAGGTAGATGGATGCACATGTATGAGAGTTTAAAATACTTCTAGAAGAGACATTGACATGGTTAGGCTTGAATTTTACGCGAGATATGTTTACATGACATAAATTATACGGCGTTCACATTACTCCATTACTCAACACTGAGCTCTGAAAGCTGTAAATACTATTCATTCAAAAACTTAATCAAAAATAGCTTATTTTAAAACCAGTATTTTTTCTTTTAAAATACGTTTTCCAAGTAAAGTTTTGTATTATCCCTGCATATCCAAAAAAGAATACTTGTAAATATTTTAAATGTATACAGAATGAGCAAGATAACTGTAGAATATTTATATATGCCATAGATAACATCTGCTAATTCCTAAGCTTGTTGCTATCATCATATCATTCCAACTGGGAGGTAGAGAGCTTTTTCATCTTAAACAAAGCCTTGATTTTAGGTTGTGTAGTTTATTTTTTAGTAGCGCAGTGAAATTTTAATGTTTAGAGTTATGCATTTATCTTACAGAAGTGAAAATGTATGTCTGTAGGTCCCAGAGTATTAACATCTCTGGCTATATGCTAGTTTGAACTTACTTGCTAAAGTAGTGGATTGAGAACAGATGCGAGATCCTAAAGCTCAAGAACTTTGTGAACAGCTCATGGAAATTAGGAAGTGGACATGAATCAAACATTGGGAGAAACGCTGTAGATCAAAAACCAAAGTTTGAATGTTGGATGACAAGGTGTGAACACAGTTTGTGTTTTCATCTCTTGATTATGTTAATAGGAGGACAGAGGACGTTACTAAGTAGTTATTCTTTCCCTTCATCTCATTTAGAAGGACAAAAAGCAAACAATGTTCTTTTTTTATTTTTCTCTGTTTTTCTCCTGTATATTTTTTAATTTTTGTATTCCTGTTGTCTTTCCTCTTGGAAACCAAGGTCTGTGAGAATTTAGAAGAAAAAACTTTGAGCTGTAAAGTAAGATCATATTTTTGTCCAGGAAGCTTACTGTTAATAAATGAGGTGTTAGATTGGTAACAGTCATTTTCGTTTGATTAAAACATCAGTTTCTTATGGCCACTATGATTGTCATATTGTATGTTGTCACTATGGTATGTCATATTTAAGAAGCATCACTTTTAAATTATAGCCTGTTTTAATTATATCAGTAAAACAAACAGTTGAACTGTGTTGTTGTTGTTGTTTTACAGGTAAGCATTGTAATACTTCTTTCAAAAGCATTTTGTAACCCTGATTAAATATGCATGTTTGTGACTGGTATTAGTGACTCTTATAAATTAACGTATTGGAAAAAATGTTCTATTCTAATTCTATTTTTGAATAATATTGTGATTACTTGTAGTTTTTCTTTTCAAGTATTTTGTGAATCCAGGAAGATGCTATATTAAGACTGTAACCTGTTGGCAAAGACATTTTTCTATATTATAATAATACACGGAGCGTCTAACTGACATTTAAGTCCTGTTGCACAACACAAAGTATTTGTACACTCACGTCTTAATGTGTTATAGAGCTTTAAGGTCCTTCATTTGTCTTTACAACTAAACTGTATTTTGGAAGTAAAAATATCCCATGTTACACATGATGTAGTAACACTCGCCTTCATTGTTGCAGGAAGCTTATATCCAAACAGGGAATTTATGCTGGAGCTCTGACTCTGTGTCTTAGCACCCAAACCACTGAGCCCTATCTGAGAATGGCAGTAGTGGTCATTATAGAACTCATCATTATGTCAAAAAAAATATATTTTTGTGTCTCTTTTTACTAGGAAGATGAAGAGAGCCCAGAAGATGAGATAGGAGGGAAGAACAGTATTACCAGAGAAGATACTTTGGTGAACAGCAAGCAACATCACCTGTTTGTTATGCATCCTGTAACCCAGAAAAACAAAAAAATACACAAAATAGGCTCAACCACCTTCTTGTTTGGAAGGACGCCCAAAGAAGTCCGCAGGTAAGACTGTCATAGTGCAATAGAAGTAAAATTCTAAATTTAAAAAGAAATTTCCTTTGAGCAGTTGCTTTTTTTCTGTTTTTGTCTTTGTGCTTTAGCCATACGTAGAGGATACTGATGACTTTCTATGGCAAGAGCTAACGGGAAACTTCAGCTCACACTATACAGAGAATATTATAATTGATTAATAAAGTGAATTGAACCCACAAATCCCTCTAACATGTTGATTCAATATGTCATACATTACATTGCTATGCAGATGCCATCACTATGGGATTCATGGTATGAGCACCATGCAGTACTACAAACTAAGATTTAAAGTGTACAGAAACAAGAAATCTTACAGTGTGAAATTTTGACTGGCTGCTGGTTTTGCCAAGATCTCACCACTGACGTTGAAAGACTGTTTAAAGAAAAAAAAATCAAAAATGTTTTTGCTGTAGCAGGTGGCTCAATATTTATTTATAAGATTTCTTTTAATGTGTCATTTTCCTGCTTGCGTCTTTGGAAGGGTGGTCATCTTTCAGTCTTCTCAGGTTTTCCCTCTTCCCAAGCTATTACTATGATTACCATCTAAAATCTGAATTGTAATGGTACATAGATAGAAATGCAGTAGCAGAACGATAAGTGGAAACAGAATGGAGAAAGTTGCTGCTAACTGGGCAATCTTATAGAAGTGGGATTTGTGTATATATATATTTTTTATTTGGTCTTGGGACTATGGAATTACTAGATAGGAGATGTGATGTCTAAGTAATATGTCAGTTTTCAGAATCTGTCATGTTAGCTAGCGGGCTTCAACTGCCCAAACTATTAATGAAGTGCTGGAGTTATTTACTCTTACAGATATTGTAAATTCTGAACATTTAAAGGGGAAGTAGAGGAGAATCCTCTGTGCTAAAATTTTTCGAAAATATAACCACAGCTATCAGTAATTTCTTGAGATAATCTTCAAAGGTAGTGAAGTGACAGAGAATGTTATTACAGGAACTTAAAGCCATGTCTAACAAAAGGTTTAACTACCTCCAGATTAAGTGCTCCTAGGCGTTAGGCAAATCAGTTTGCTTCCAGATACAACCCAGGCTGTGCAGTGCGCCCAAACTCCCTGCACAGTGAGTGTGAGTCACTGGGTGGCTCAGGCGAGGTCGGCTATTGCAGTCAGAGAGCTGGATGAGGCGCTGTCTGCAGTTGCCACACTCAGTGAGGATGCCTGGAGCTTCATGCCCCGTCCCCAGGAGGGGAGCATCAACCCACCTCCCTCCTCCCACTCACCTCTGCCCCCAGACTACAAGTTATCCTCAGTGTTGTCTCCTGCCTGACTTGGATCTTGGCCTTTTGGCAGTAGACAAACATTCCACAGATAACTCGATAGGCAGAAGGGACAGTCCCTGATTGCTGAGACTTTGTTTATGCAGGTCTAGTTTAAAAAGCTCTTAAAAGGAGTTTGAGAAACTACTTTTTCTTTTCTCTGAAAAACACTCTATCATCCATCTATATACCTCTTTCAGTAGCTAAATACCCTCTGAAATCTGGGCCTTTGGAGAATAATCTTTGGTTGCATTGAACGTCAGTGAATCCTCGGCTCTTAAACTGAGGAATTTGGGGTTTATAAGTTACTTTAGCTCTTCTAAAACCAATAGTTACTCTTTCTTCTTTTTGGTACTAAAACAAATACTGCTTCTAAAGGAAATTACTCTTAGTGATTTTTTTTTGGCATATATGAGGTTAATGAACTCGGCTACTTACAAGCTTTTTTTTTCCTTAATTTTAAAAAGTATTTTTCCTTCCTGATGATATAGGAGGCAATTTGAGGAAATGGTATCCCACTTTAAGATGGGATCAATAGAGGAACTTGCAGAGCATCTCGCAGAAGCTACATCAGAAACGCGTCAGAAAATGTTGAAAGAATTTTACATTTCCAAGTATCCAGAGACAGAGGCTTTCTTTGCTGCCAAAATACCAGCACATGCTTCAGATGAGGAAGAAGTGTGGACAAGGCATTCCAGAAAAAGAAAATCTATTGTTAATTTTGGAAGATCCAAGTCCAGGCCTTCCTCAGCCAGGCATTATCTTCTGAGTGGAGCTACAGAAATATGCAGCCAGCAAAGAAGTAAAGGAGAAGCAGAGCAACTTCACAATGACTCCTGCATAGAAGATACTGCAGAAGTTAATGCAAAATGTAAACAATCGCCCACTGTTGCTGCTCAACATATCAGGAGGGGAAACAGTCAGGCATTCAAGGATTTTATGGCATCTGGCTCATTAAGCAGTAAATCAGAAATAATTGAGGTGCTGTCTGTAAATGGCTGTAAAGGACAGCAGGACTCAGAAGGAACACAGCCGCCAAGAAAAAGATCCCTGTCTCAGTCAGAAAATGGAGAGAGAAAAGCTCAGGCTTGTAAGAAAAACTCTTTTGTGGACTTACTTGGAGATACCTCTATTCTCAATGACTTCTTCAGAAATGATGGAAATGGGTCTACAGAATTACCAAGGAGACTTCCTTCAGGGCAAGCAGAAAAATCAAAAGGGAGACCAAAGGATTTCTGGGACATGCTGAATGAGCAGAACGAGGAAAGCCTCAGACATCTGAGAGACACAGCAGCCATAGAGAAGCTATGTGAAAGAGCACCTCTTCTTCCAGCGACAGAAAAGAAAAAAGTATGTGAAAATTCTCTTTGGAAAAAGAATGAAAACTTTCTTTGGAAAAAGTACTGTCCAGATGATTAAGGATGAGTCATCTACTGTTACATCTTGCAATGTAGTAAACCGAAAGCTTTCTACATGAATTGCACTAAGATTGTTTTAGGTAAACAAATATTAAGTAACCCTAACTTAAGCAGTATGCAGTGAAGCATACGATACTTCCATGAAATTAAAGCAAAGTGATGATTTTATATTTGTGATACCACTGATTCACTTTTTTACATTTGGTGTACAATGTAGTATTGTATGCTATGACATGCTAATTTTAAATTAAACTCTTTTAAAAACCTTCTCATTGTGGTCTGCTTTGTTTTAAATACTGATCTTATTCCTACAGTTATTACCTATACTACATTATTTTCCCCTTTGTTTATATCTGGCCACCCTCAGTCATCCTGACAGAATTTAACATAGAAACCAAATTTGGCAGTAATACTGCTCATATTCTCTGGGCTGCTGGGCATGTCGGTTCGGGGACTTCCTGAAGCAGGGGGATGTCACTGAGTCTAGTAGCCCTTGGTGTATATTTTTTATGTGACTTTGCTCAGTGTCTCATTCTAACGAAGCCTCTTAGTTATCTCCAGTGTCCTATGGTAATGAGTTCCTCAGCTTACCTAGTGTGAAGAGCCACCATGTTATGTTTGTTCACTCTGTTTTTTTAATGCAAGAGCTACAGTACTTCAAATGATGCCACATTTCAGGCTTTATCTCGGTGTGCCACTTTTCATCTCTTGGTGCCACCTGATTTATAATCTACTCCGTGTCTCTGTCAGATAGTGGACAATACTTGGCTGCTCTTCATTCTTGTATGCAAGGAAAGGGGAGAAGTATGATTTTAAAAGGAATTTACTATTTACTAGTGAATTTCAGTAAAAAGCTGATGTCCCCTCAGTGTTTGGGGCATGCTGCTGTTTCTTATGTCTGCATTTGGTTGTTTGGTCTGCAAAGAAATTGGTGGGACAATTATGTAAAACAAACATGCCTTATATTTGAAAAGTATTTTTTGTATGATTTAATAAATGTTTCCTTTTTGTGAGCTTTATATTCTTAAAAATATTTTTAGTACAGTATTGTGTTGCATATAAACTTAGAAAACAGGATGCAACTGGGCACACGTTGCGGGTTTGGGATTTTTTTTTCATTTTTTTTTAGATTTTTTTTTTCCTTTTGTTTCTTTGTTTACACATTAGTATTTTAGCATGAGCAGTTTAATGGGCATCACCCAGACCTGCATAGTCACTTTTAAAAACACGAGGCAACTCTTTCTGAAGAAGTAGGCAGTAATCTGGATATTGAAGCAGTTCTGTTGACATTAAGACTTACTGTTAAGTATGTTGCAGCATGGATTCAGCTTGTGCTAACGGACAGAAGCTTTGTCAGTCACTTTATACATGCGTAAAAATAGTTCTTACTGTGCTACATCAAATCACTCCAAAATGTATGATACTGGAGAAATGTACAGTTTTCATCCTGAGGGCTCTTTAGAAGAAGGAAGGTCTTGTGTCTAGGACATGAAATTCTAACTCAGCTGTCCTTTTTATTCTGATGTGCAAATACGTTGGTCACATTCATTGCATGTATAAAAGGGACTTTTCCATCTGATGGAAGCGATTTGCTTTTTTAACCTTAGCTTTTGCTACAGAAAGGTATCTCACTTAAGTTGTGAGCTACAAATATGAAATTAAATTTGCTCTTTAATTTTTGTCATGGTGTAGCTGTACTGGGGCTAATGTCGCTCTTAGAGCGCATAGGTCATTAATTCCTACGGTCGCCAGGCATCTGCACAGGAGAGATGATGAACTGGTTTGAAACTAGGTGTTGGGATGAACCTTCACCATGAAGTGTTGTATTGCTACAGGCCTTCTGGGGAAGTGTTAGGTAGTTCGTGAAATTCCTTCCGGCAGCTCCTGCTGTGTCTGTGCTAATTTCTATTTTAACATGTTGATTTACATCCTTGACAGAGTTCCAGAGACTTTCCTAGGTGGTTCCTGCTGCAGAAGTGATTAAACTGAAAATAGGTAAGATGTGTAAATAGTCAATAGAAAAATATGAATGCATAGAGAGAAAGATGCGAGCAGGTAGTGTGATTAGCACAGCACTTTTTCTCAGTGAAATCTGTGTCTAATATGAAACTTCCTTTAGTTGTCCCTAAGCTGATGGTACCAAGTTGCTACCTTGCAGACCCTAGAGGATTTCAGCGCTTTGCTGTGCCTCTTTGACATTGCCTGAGCACTCAAGAGCCTTGGAGTGCCTTTACTCCAAAAGATGCTGTGCGGTGCTCTTCCTTTCAGCTCTCCACTGCCCTGGTCTTTGAAAAGCTCATGGGCTGTAGTGCGTAGGAAAGGTGTGAATCTGTGAATAAATGGCACAAGTGGCTAAAATGTCTTTCCATCCCTACTCAATTCCAAATAAAATAAAAGGGAGGAGTGGGGCAGGGCAGGTAGCCTCGTTCTGCAGACTTAAGTGGAGAGTTACGCACATAAATCAGATGCTCTGAATCAGCAGGTTTCCCATCGCCAAGGAATACATACAGAACCTGTGTTCATGACTAGATGTCACTGTTTAACTTATCCCTTGAGCCTGTTTTGAAGTAGTTGTGGAAATAGTCTGGCTGGCATTCTGTCCCCGTGAGTGAGCAGTATCTTCTGGCACGCAGTGGGCCTTAGGGGAAATGTTTGTATCTCAGCTCTACCATGGGGGCCATTGACAAGGCTTGCAGCAGGGTGAGGTGCTTCAAAAGTAGGACCTGTTCATTTTTTGTACTAAGATAGTTGAGAGCATGGCCCAAGGATTCTGTTCAGTGTTTGGGATGCGAACATAGATCAATCTACGCATTTCTGAATATGTAAGAAATGCTTTTTAGGAGAGTAGAAAAAAAAAGTTTAGTTTCATTTTGTTCCAATACTTGATATTCTAATGGTATTTCAGAGCAAGGATTTATTTTTTCAGTTTTTGAGAGTATATAATATAGCATATATGGAATAGGAATTCTTTACATGCCTAAAACTTATCATTTTAGTCTTCAAATACTGGCTTTCTCCAAGTGAAAACTGTTCCTTCACAGACTGGGGAAACGGTTATAAGATAAGCATAGTCATGTCTCATTTGCTGAATAGTCTGTCACATTACCCAGTGTTACAAGATCATGTGAGAGAATACCTTATCATAACACATAACCGAAAGAGGCCAAGGCTTCATATTCTCTAGGAACCTTAACCCTAATCTTTTATTTCTGTAGGTTTTGAAATCTCAAATGTAATGCCATACTAATACGGGGTTTTACATTGAATATAGTATATAAATTGTTTTATGTGAAGGGTAAATGTTATGAAATTTTAAAACCCTGGGCACTGAAGCTGCACAGCAGCAGTCTGAACTGTGGTGGTTTTTGTGGTCTGGATGGTTGCCCACTGGAAAATAAGCTTAAATTTGATCTGGAGCAGCTTCTACTTTGGGTCCTGGGAAGCTGTTACAGGCTTTGCTCTGTGTCTGTGTTAACCATTATGCCCTTGATGTAACTGGAAACCTTCTAAATATTTAATTGGGAAATCTCATTTGCCTACCTGGACTGAGAAACTCTGTTTATAACATATGTGATAAAGTAGTAAGATTGTTTCTCTCACCTTTAGTTGATATGTTCTTACAGTTTTATCATACTCATGTTGAAGATACAAACAAATTCAGGATGGTCAACTACAGTAACTTAAAAAAGAAGGGCGAACTAAGAAAATAGAGAAGCTATAAAATACTTAGCCATTACTGACTTTGAATTGTGCGCAATTTAAATAAGTCAGCTGAAGACAGTGCATATCTAACCTGTTCTTGTTAATATTAAAAATACAGAATAAATGAAGGCTTTTTATTAATGGTATCAATATTGATTTGTTTTACAGGTAAACTTTATTCTGCTTAAAGCAGTGAACTAATGCTGCTTAGCCTAGAGAACGGTGGAAGAAAGAAGATGGCCTTCAAGTGAAGGCTCCTGCTGCAAAGAGAAATAGTCTCTTCGTGTCCACTGCAAACAGACAAGAGGTAAGAGGCTTAAACTGCAGCAAACATAGTTAGATACTAGAGAAACTTTCTAAGGGTAAGTTTGGAGTGGCGGCTACCTTGATGGAGTGCTGAGATTGGAGGCCATTAAGAACAGGAGATGAAAGTAACTTAAAAATTGCAAGGATATAATTGACCTAATTTTAGTCCGGGAGGGACTGGTGTCTTCTCAAAGTATCTGAGCTCTAGAAGGGGCTAAAACAATCTCACTGGTTTCTGGTTATATCAGGCCACTAGGGCCCCACCGCGGTACCGTTAGTTACCAGTCATGTCTACGGCGGGAGATACTGGGAGGACAATTGGGGAGGACAAGGTCAGGACTGCGCTAGGCTGAATTGCACATCTGGCTTTCGAAGAACCCTTAATGAAGGGGAGCTGCATGAGGCTGGATGGCAGGAATGGTTCCCAAATAAGAAAACGTAATTGTTTTTGTGAAATAACCAGGAAATCAAGCTTCTCATCCATAAAGTGATGACATGCATAAATCAAGAACTCCATAGAAATGCATGTTTTATCCATGTATATGCGAAATATTGTTGATTTATTTGTGGAAATGCATTTGCTATCTGAATTAACCTAAACAACAGGAAAACATCTTGAAAGAAGATTTATGCTGCTATAGCTTCCTGTATAAATTTAGCATATTTTACTAGGGAGTATCATCTAAGCTATAAATATTGTGACCTAATGCCCTAGGGATCTGTATGTAATACACGAATTAATAAGTGTGTCTTAATAAGTATATGTGAGTTTAAAAAGGGAAGAGTTTGACCTACATCTGAAGGTATATCCTTTAAATATTAAAACAGATAACTTCTTGGAAATCTGTGATGACTGTTTTGTTTGACTGGAAAACAAAGGAGTCTTTGGAGGCTTCTGCATTCAAGGTTATGTGAAATGAAATGCATGCAGCTTCCACTCACAGCTTCTAGTGTGGTTGCTGTAAGGTGTAAGTTGCAAGGAAATTGTAACTG